CGCTGGAATGGGTTGCTAAAGAATCACTTGAAGCCTACTGATGGCACATGGGGAGACAGACTGGACGAAGTGGTGCAGAGATTAAACAACAGACAGACTCCTACAGGAAGTCCAATCAGCAGGGGATTCTTCCCTACAGGGAAAGCTATCTCCCCTGCCAGAACACCACTGCACAGTTCCAAGTATGCTCCCGGAGATACTGTTGTGATTAAACACCCAGCCCTGGGAACCTTTACCTGCGTTTTCCACGCCTATAAAGAGAAAGGTGTATGGAGTGCCTTAAATGCTGATAAAAGGCTAATAACCATTACAGAGGCTTGGATCGCATCCAAGACCGGCTGACCATGTGATTTATTGCAGGAATGGTCCCATGGTTCCGAGCAACCTGCCAGCTAACCTGTCAGCAAAATGGACCATGCAGCAGACCTGTTTGATCACTAGAGACTACTATGGACTGTTGATATATTTGCCATTACTTATAATAGCAGGTGTAATTTTTGCTTTTGGTTTTAAAATAAGTTTTTTAGCTAGAACACGACCCACCAGAGATATGTTCCTGCAAGCCCTCATGATCCTTCTGTTGGCTCCAGTCACCTTGGCAATACCAGAACATCCTCTTCGGGGAGCAATCCAAACCATCGCCTCAGCTGCTGGTGCTACAAATTGCTGGATGTGCACCTTGCTAGATTCAACCAATGGACTGGGAATTGAATTTGTACCACTCAGCCTAAATGATTGGTGGAACAAAAGCGACATCTTTCAGTGGGGACCAGCATGGTACACCAACAACCCTCGCAATGACTTGGGGGAGGTGGGACAATGGCATCGCACTGTTTGGGGACGGCCTGTGGAATATGTAACGGGATCATCTAAAGAAGTATACCCTATTTGTTTTGAAACTCAGGGTGACATACACATGGGTAGTCTAGATAAGCAGCAATGTGCCCATACAATTGTATTTGATCAGAAAAGTGGGGGTTGGACTACCTACCCACCCATGAACGACAAAAGGACTTTAAAATGTTGGAAAGGTCCCATCAATGGCACACTTGAACATAGACCCCTTTTTAGCATATATAATGCCACAATTGTTCCCCTGAATATGAGTGGATACCCTGAAAGCAGAGATTGGTATGACCAATCACTGTTCTTTATTCCCAGTTCCGGACACATTTATAACCCATTGCTAATCAAATCTATTAACTCCTTATTAGATCAGTGTAATGAAAATGGACTTTTTCGCTCAGATCAAATTTTAGAAGATTTGTTAATAGTTTTGCTCTGTACTAACATTAAGATGGGATATTGTGTTCCATATCACCAACCCATACCTAAACCTGAGGGGGGCAGGTGGCACAGAGGACCTTATTCACCTATTCTTAGTAAAGAACCTGGCTTGTTCTTTATTTGTGGGGACAAGGCATATAAATATCTACCTGTAGGTTGGACTGGAAGGTGTTCACCGGGACATGCAGTACCCGAGGGACTAACAGTACACCCTCATGTTGATGCCCCCAGAATAACAAATCTGGGAAGTTTTATACACCGATCCAAACGAAAGTTCACCTACAACCCCCTGATTGAACGGCCCTCTGGTTTTCACCGATCTACCCGTGCACTTATACCTTGGTTAGGTATAACTGAGCTCGAGATGGCAATAGCAAACGTTTCTGGACAATTGGAAATTGCTCTGAATCATACTGCTGATGCATTAGGGCTTTTAAATGAACAACTTCAGTCTGTGGCCCGATATGCTCTGCAGAACAGAATAGCACTAGACGCTACCCTAGCCCAGCAAGGAGGAGTGTGTGCTGTAATCAACCAATCTTGTGGTTTTTATGTAAATCATTCAGGGCAAATAGAGCAAGATGTGGTTGCTATTAAAGGTGTAGTTAAAATTTTACATGCAGTGGCTGAGAATGGACAAACCTCATGGATGCAATGGTTAGCTCAACACTTGGGATTTTCCCTCTCCCCGTTTTTACATTCGGTTGTGAATACTGTTTTAACCATTTTAATTATTGTAATTGTTTTTTGTGTGACTTTATGTATTATGAAGCGTTTGATTCAAACTGCTCTTTCCTCCACGCAAATCAGATACCTAGAGCTAAAAAGGGATCCTAACCAATTCTGCGAACCCTCATCCTCTAATTTGGTTGTTGGGTATTTCTAGATTTCCCCAAGGAGGGCAAGAGGTGCTGGCATCACCGCCACCTTGCAACCTGGGATGTAGTGTGGTGCATCAGGGGGTGGAATGTAGCCAGACAGCCAGCCCCCCTCGCCCCCCCTCAGACCAGCATTGCTGGAAACACAGGAGGAAGCCGGAACAGGGCACTTAACATATATTCCAGCACAGCCTTTGAAGCTGTGAAAGCACAGGTGTGCTGCTACAATGTGCCTCTGGGAACAGATACAACGATTAAACTCACAGCAGGCAGAGGCCCTGTGACAGACATGGCTCTTAGCCCCTACTAAATAGCGTGATGCACACACACCAACATCCTAGGTGGGAAAATATTTACCCTGATAAAAGAAATGTCCAGTAGTCGACACTTATTGTTTCTCTCCCTTGCAAGTGTAAGCTACTCTTGCGAAAGCTGGTGTCACCCAGACAGACCAGCCTCAATTTGGCATAAGAAAGGAGAAAGAGAATAAAGGAGTACAGAGGTATAAGTAGGGGACCTACAGCACCATGATTTTTGAGTGCTTTTCACTATCTATCTGCTGGTCAGATAAGTGACAGCCTCCCAAGGCTTCTGCAGCTAAGAGGGTCCCTAAGCCTTGTCCCTTATTCGTCTTTCCGCAGAATTGAGTGACCGATCCTGGCTTGGCACCGCTGGAATCGAGAGATGCAAGGAGGGTAAGAAGCACCCACACCTGATCTCCTATCTTTAGTGTACACATATTTTGAAATAGAGCTCTGTACTTTGTTTTCTTTCTTTGGGATTGTGGCTTCAGTTTTGTAACTTGTTTGTGTGTGTAACATCTCTACATTTAAATAAGTAGGCACTAGCAATTTTGTAACCACATGATTAGAATCTAGCTTAATAAATTTTGGTAACCATTTGTGCGTAAGCCTGACTTGTTTTTCTCTGGTTTACTGTAAAACAGCCAACACAATTAAAGAACCTCAGCCGTTTTGGCTCTAAAGCCTGGCCATTAGGTGAGAGTACTAAGAGCCTAGCGTTGAGTTGTGCCGCCTCCACGGGGCACACTCTTGAGGCACCTGTCAGTCAATCCTGGCTGCCCGCTCGAAGGAGCTCTGAGCTCTAGCAGTTAAAGTCACGGGTGTGGAGAGGCTCTTAGTGCTGCCATTGGGGCACCTGTCAGTCAGTATTGACTGCCCACTGCGAAGGAGCTCTGAGCTCTAGCAGTTAAAGTCACGGGTGGTTAGGACCTTGAGGCATCCGTCAGCCTAGCCCGGGCTGCCCGCCACGAAGGGACACTGCGTCCAAGCGGTTAAAGTCACGGATGGTATAAACGGGCATAGCTGGCACCTCACCAAACATCCTTGGCCGTCGGCTAACACCTCAGAGTGCGGCCACCAACTCTTGCTGTGGCCACACTGACAACTTTTCCTAAAATACTTAATTAACTTGAGGAAAAACAAATATGCACATATACATGTCCAAATCATTGTAATTTATCTACATAGGGGTGTTTGGTTTTTTGCAGACCCAATAATAAAAATAATGTACAGTTGTCTCTATTCTTTACTGGACCTACACAAAATAGAAACACAAATAAGGTGCTTTGAACATTCTTGTCTTTTTTATTTTTGTTTCTTTTGCTTTTTGGTTTTGTTATGTTTTTTAAGACTTGCTAGCTATAAGTCTGCTGTGAAAAGTGGTATATGTATGTTTGTTAATACCACTTTTCATAGCAGACTTACTCAACCCCGGCAAGCCCGTGAACAAATTAAGCTCTGGATAGGGAGGTAGCTGTAGACGCAGCTACAGGGATACTGGGGGAAGACAGAGGGTGCCAGAGATGATGGGGTGGGTGAGCTCAGGGCCGAAGCCCACCACTGCACAGCTTGGGAATGGAACCCAAAGCCCTACACCCTGGGGACAGAGCCTGAAGTCCCGTGACTGATGCCTGACGCCCACCACCCCAGGGCTGAAGCCCAACCCTAACACTTCCAGCAACGTGGGGAACTCACTGACTGCCTGCTCCCTCCAGCTTTTGTCTCCCCAGAGGTGGGCAGGGCTCAACCACTGCTGGTGGCCCCTGGAGAGGACGGACTGCTGCTTTGCCCCTCCCCCCCCCCCCCCCCCGAAATCAGCGGCCACAAGAAAAGCCCCTGGTGGCCGCATGCGCCCACAGTGGCTGCATTTGAAAAACGCTGCTTTAGTCAGTGTCCTCTAAAATTAAACTGTGTTTGAAGCCATGTTATCTGGTTCTAGATATTTAAATGAATACTCAAATTATGAGCGGTTTTTGGGTTTTTTTTTTTTAAAGAGAAGTAAACTCAAAAATATAACATCTGGAAAGAGTAACAACTTGAACTCCGAGTTTCAGTTCACTAAAGGCTTTTGTGATGGAGACACTGAAATCTCGGATATTAGTTTATAGTAAAAATGCTAAATCAGCCTTGCATATAGCGAAAAGTACCTGGAAGGCTTGCTCTGTCAAAAAGCCAGATTTTTCTATTTTGTTTCCAACTTCACCTGTCAAAAGTTACATTGGACCAAAAGTGTATAGTTAAAGACGACACTTCTCAGAACTATACTTCTTCTCACAGACCATACTATTTTCAATTGAAGTGGCTATTAATAGGAATTAGAAAAACAAGCCAGCTGTGTGTGTACGTCAGTCCCAGGACAGAATTTTCAACCTTTTTATATTTTGTGTTTTAAGCAAAATTATAGAGTTGTGAAAATCTTAAATTCTGCTGGAAGCTAGAGGTTTTTTTAATAAAGATATTGGATCATCCAATTCTGAAGAGCTCATTCTCTGCATACCACAAATGTGTATTACAAATGCTGTGGGGCATTTACCTATTTTTCAGTTCTTCAATTCGTTTCCATAGCTGTTCATCATCTTTTTCTAGTCGTTTTAATTCTGTTCTCGAACGATTATAATGTGCCTACCAAGAAAATTAGACACATTGAATATATTCATTCTTATTGGATTTCGCTTACTTGGTCTTCACAAAGAATAAATTGGACACATCTACTATTTTTCTGAAGACAAACACTAATGTTATTTGATTTACCATTTTGCAATACTGCAGCAGAAGATCAGAGCTTGAATTTCATGCTAATCATTTTATCAGTTCCTTTTCTAATTATGTTTACGTGCCCCCAATAGCCATCCAGTCTTTAGTACCATTATAAAGGATGTGAACACTATAGTCCTGATCACACAACTGGCTCCATTCAAGTGGAAGCCTCCACGTGGATGAGCTGTTTGTCCTTGTGCACCCTCTTGTGGCAGGGGTGCCTCTACTCTGCCCTTTATTCTGCCTCTTCTAGGCCTTTTTACAGAGACTCCACACATTTGCTGGTCCATTCACCACTCTTACAGGGGTGTGCGTTAGAAAATAACTCAAAAGTAAAATGCAGAGTCCCAAAAATCTGCCCCAAGGCACGGCTCTTGCTGCAGAGACTGGTGAGAAAAAGGGTGCTTTCCTCTAAGTCCCTTTAAAAAAAAAAAAAAAAAAACCACAGACTTCTTAGGGGGTCACCAACCTGTGGTTTGGCTTGCAACTGTCCTGCTCAGAGCGGACATCCTAGAATCACCTCCCTCAAACAACTGCTTCAGCTATCTTATTAGAAACCAGCTGTTTACGGTTCCCTCTCCATGCAAGGTGTATCTGGTTAGCTCATTTAGCAAGCCTGCTCCAGGCTTCAAGTCTCCTGCAGGCAGCTCCCTCACTCCCTCTACTCTCTCACACTGCATTTGCCTTAAGTCACTATGATTTCAGTGGGCCTCCACATAGATGCAGGAGTCCACCTGGGCAGAGCTCAGAGCACAACTGGGGCCTTTTTCATAAAGAACAGAAGGGATCAATGCAGTCATCAAGTCTGACCGCCTATATACACAGGCCATAGAACTTCCACAAAGTAATTTGAACTACAGCATATGTTTCAGAACACCACCATTAGCATTATAGGATTAGAAAATGCGTTTTTCCACCAACCTCAGCCTCGTTGTATGCTTTTCTTTTTGCTTGTACATCAGCTTTCAAAGAAACACACTGAGGCTGCAATGCTTGTGCTTCTTCACTTATCTTCTCTAACTTATCTTGGATGGCCTTGTACTTTTCTTCTGCTTCATTTACTTTGACCTTACAACAAAATATAGAGAATACATGAGTTCACGTAATGAAACAAAATATTTTATTTCCACAACTCTTTAAACCAGGAAAATCTTTCTGAGACAAACCTGAAGCCAGCTATTTGAAGTGATTTTTTCCCCCAAAATTATATTCCACAGGGACATTAGAAGATATGAGTAAGTCAGTCCATGGTTTAAGAAGCATATAAAAAGTTACCCAGTAGTTATCCTTCGAGTTGAAAAATTTAATGCGAAGAGTTTGTTTTGTTGTCTGGCAAAATTTACTACATTTGAGTTACCAAATGTGTGGCTTCTGGGAAAGTAAAAGGATATTTGGTTCTGCACATTTTAACAATATAAACCAGAAACTTTGAAAAAAAGTCTCACGAGTAGTGTCACAGTGTGACTAACTCCTTTAAGGAGGAGCAGGCTCCAGAGCACCTGTGGCTAACTGGCTGCCTCCCAGCATACCGAGTTTATAATTGATATATTTAAGGTTTGCCGTGTTTTACAATGTACCTTAAGACACTGTTTAAAATACTTCTATATTTAACGTGGTTTAAGTTACAAGCTAAGTTTAAGAGGAAAGCTTTCAGTATTAAAATAATAGGTCTGTTGCTGTCATTGAGATTGCTCTCAGTCCTTAAAAAAAAAAAAACAAAACTGTATTCATGTCAAAAGAAAAAAAAATGCCGTTAAAAGAAGGCACCTGGGCCATATAAAGGAAAGATAGGAAAAAGCATGTGATAGCTGCCTGGAAAAATCAAGAAAACATGCAGAGGACAGATGCCTGAGAAAACAAGCTGAAAGAGCAAGGAGAGGTGCAGGTGAGAGCTGCCTGAGGATCAGTCAGGAAAGGGACTAGCCTGCTGACCTTCCTGAGCTAGAGAGCCAGTGCCAAGAGATTGAAAAGGGCTGAGTTGTTGGACTGTGTTTTGAGCAGAAGAGTCATGAGACTGGTCACTCTCTCAGATGGATGGCCTGGAGAGTGGGGCTCTGGAACAAGGGCAGAAACGAACTGCTCGTAGACTCACCAGGTGGGTGGACCTTGAAGTGATATCTCTAGAAAGAATGGAAAATCCATGTCTCTTTCTGTTTTACTCTGGGAACTGGGAGAACGGTTTTACTATGAGGATTCTAAGAATGAATAAATGATGCCCAGAGATGGGAGTCTGAATTAGACAGCGAGAGCTCTCTTTACATGGCTAGACAGAGGGGAAACTGAGATGGGTGCACCGATTGTGCCACAGTGGCCTACAGCAAGAGGACGAAGGAAGCAAGGGAAGAAGGAGGATCCTGGGAACTACAGGCCAGTCAGCCTCACCTCAGTCCCCGGAAAAATCATGGAGCAGGTCCTCAAAGAATCAATCCTGAAGCACTTGCATGAGAGGAAAGTGATCAGGAACAGCCAGCATGGATTCACCAAGGGAAGGTCATGCCTGACTAATCTAATCGCCTTTTATGATGAGATTACTGGTTCTGTGGATGAAGGGAAAGCAGTGGATGTATTGTTTCTTGACTTTAGCAAAGCTTTTGACACGGTCTCCCACAGTATTCTTGTCAGCAAGTTAAGGAAGTATGGGCTGGAAGAATGCACTATAAGGTGGGTAGAAAGCTGGCTAGATTGTCGGGCTCAACGGGTAGTTATCAATGGCTCCATGTCTAGTTGGCAGCCGGTATCAAGTGGAGTGCCCCAAGGGTCGGTCCTGGGGCCGGTTTTGTTCAATATCTTCATAAATGATCTGGAGGATGGTGTGGATTGCACTCTCAGCAAATTTGCGGATGATACTAAACTGGGAGGAGTGGTAGATACGCTGGAGGGGAGGGATAGGATACAGAAGGACCTAGACAAATTGGAGGATTGGGCCAAAAGAAATCTGATGAGGTTCAATAAGGATAAGTGCAGGGTCCTGCACTTAGGACGGAAGAACCCAATGCACAGCTACAGACTAGGGACCGAATGGCTAGGCAGCAGTTCTGCGGAAAAGGACCTGGGGTGACAGTGGACGAGAAGCTGGATATGAGTCAGCAGTGTGCCCTTGTTGCCAAGAAGGCCAATGGCATTTTGGGATGTATAAGTAGGGGCATAGCGAGCAGATCGAGGGACGTGATCGTTCCCCTCTATTCGACATTGGTGAGGCCTCATCTGGAGTACTGTGTCCAGTTTTGGGCCCCACACTTCAAGAAGGATGTGGATAAATTGGAGAGAATCCAGCGAAGGGCAACAAAAATGATTAGGGTCTGGAACACATGACTTATGAGGAGAGGCTGAGGGAGCTGGGATTGTTTAGCCTGCAGAAGAGAAGAATGAGGGGGGATTTGATAGCTGCTTTCAACTACCTGAAAGGGGGTTCCAAAGAGGATGGCTCTAGACTGTTCTCAATGGTAGCAGATGACAGAACGAGGAGTAATGGTCTCAAGCTGCAGTGGGGGAGGTTTAGATTGGATATTAGGAAAAACTTTTTCACTAAGAGGGTGGTGAAACACTGGAATGCGTTACCTAGGGAGGTGGTAGAATCTCCTTCCTTAGAGGTTTTTAAGGTCAGGCTTGACAAAGCCCTGGCTGGGATGATTTAACTGGGAATTGGTCCTGCTTCGAGCAGGGGGTTGGACTAGATGACCTTCTGGGGTCCCTTCCAACCCTTATATTCTATGATTCTATGACGCTCCAGGTGGTGGTTGCCTTATTAAGAGTAGTTTTCAAGTCTATCTATCTCTGTTTTCTTTGTTCTTGTGGTTTTACAATTTATTTAATTTTTATTGTAGGCACAGATGACCCCTACAGAGGAAAGTCAATTAAACTGATCAAACACAAAGTGCTGACAACGGCACAAAGTAAACTATTACTGTGATAACAGTATGTAAAAGAGATTACACTAATGGCCTATTTTTAAGACTGCTGAAATACTCCAACTGAAAAAAGCAACTAAAATCAGCTTCATTTTAAACATGTATATTTGGCTCATATGTAATTTTCAATCATGAACAAGTGCTTCGCTAAGTTTGAAAAAAAAAAAAAAAAACACTGAAGGATTTTAATGGACTCAAAATCACACACACAAGAACAGTAATGTTTTATAGATCCAGTGTTGAACAAATTCTATGCACATCACCCAAATATCTGATTCGCCAGGTCCTTCTCAACATATCTGAAAGTTCCAGTGCCATGAAAGGTCAATTTAGTCTCTATATGGCTCAGGGAATGATTTCTTTGCGGAATACTTGTGCCTTTCACTACCGGTCTCCAGCTCTCAAATGGCCAGTGCTGACTTGACATAACACATGACAAATGTTAGTCACGTTGCTTAATACACTATTGAAAGGCATTCAAATACTATCGTGAGAAGCACTGTATAAGAACCTATATATAACAGAACTAAAAGTAACCATCATTCAAATTCTACTCATTAGTCTATGCAAAATTGGTCATCTCAGTTTGGTTCTCAGTGAGTGATTCCACATCACATAACGATCACATAGATAGTCATTGAGTGAATCAACGAAACAAAACACCTAGGACTCAGCAAGCACAGAGAACAAACTATCTTCCCATCCTAGAGTTGGTCCCCAGTGAACTGGAGGGGTGAACGAGCACTAATCTGACCATGAAGGTTCAGACTGCTAATCAACAGTGCATAAATAAAGACTGCTATTTAGATATGGCTCTTTAGGCTATACCTGGAAGAAACTGAGGAGATAGCTCTGATAATCTACTTAACAGTGGAGAATGATAAACTTAATTAAAAAGAAAAGGAGTACTTGTGGCACCTTAGAGACTAACCAATTTGAGCATAAGCTTTCGTGAGCTACAGCTCACTTCATCGGATGCATACGGATGCATGTAGCTCATGAAAGCTTATGCTCAAATTTGTTAGTCTCTAAGGTGCCACAAGTACTCCTTTTCTTTTTGCGAATACAGACTAACACGGCTGTTACTCTGAAATTTAATTAAACTAATTTCACTGCCTCACTAGAACAAAAAAGCCATATGTCTGGGAGCAATTCCAAGGGCAAGTTAATGACAGCAAAGTAAGGAAGGAGTCTTTTGACTTGTAAAAAATCTACAGAATCAGAATTTCAATGATGCCACCCTTTGTAACATGGCAAGAGAGACTCGCTGTTCACCCACCCACCTTCCAACTTGAAGTATCCTGTTGGTGGAAATTTTGATCAAATGTCATCAGAAATGCGTCGAGAGGAGTGGGATTCGAAAACCCTTTCTCCCACAAACATAATGTTACCAAACACAACAAACCTAGAACAATTATATAGATATATATTCAAGAAAATGTTTAAAAATCAACTTTTTAAAATTATAATTTAACATATGCATGTCAAATACGCTGCCCTCACAAAGTTAAATTGTGGCCTTGACTGATAGTACTGTGTTATCAGTTAATACTAAGAATATGAAACCTGATTAACTCTTTGAATGTTACAAATGACTATAAACAGAAGGAGTTCTTCAAGTTGATTTGCCACGAACAGCAAAAAAGAAGCAGTTCAGTGGTATTGATTATCAGCTTTGTTTACTATGAGATTTTACTACATTATGCTTCCAGACTAAATTCAGAATTAACATGTTGTTTAAGACAACCCTACCTGCCATTCGTTTAACTTCTGATCATACTTTTCAGTACGTCCTTCCTCAATATCAATACTATCTTTGATTGGTTTCATTTCTTTTTCAGTTTCATTCACCTGAAATGTTTAAAAGAAAGACTGAAATATACATCAGACCAGTCAAGGTAATTTGAAGATAAATTAAATGAACTTCAGTTGAAGAAAAAGATATTCTAACAAGAAAGTTACCACTGCCCAGGCCATTTTATGTTTCAAAGCCTCTAGATTGGTTTGCATTTCGCTCACGAACGCAATACTTTTGTAGTGCTCCTCTTTCTCAAAATAGTGCTGCCTAAGGTCTTGAAGAAGCTAAAAAAAGTAAAAAGATTCAAATGTTAATGAGCATAAAGGATTGTTGGTGTAATATGGAATTGTAGGAGGATAATTTTTTAAAAGTTTAAAATGACTCAGATTAATGAATTTAAGCAACCCAGCTAAACTATATTACAAGTTGATAGTTAATTTATGGTGCAACTGCATTTTATAATGGGTAATATCTGTATTCCTTATATTATTTCAGTGTCTATGTGTGTAGTAATTAACCACAGTAACCTTTACATACCCCTACTCCTTGTTCTATCTGGTCATGAGTTCTTGACTTAGTTTCCATAATGTATGAATAATCAGCTTTCATCTGCTCCAGCTGGGTTGCTTTCATAAAGAACTAAAACCAAAGAAGAGAGAGATCGAAACTTCAGCTTTGGTAAAACTGTAAAGGGAATTAAGTGGATTTTAAAAACTGTTAAAAAACGTGCACCCATCCAATACTCTGAGCACCCTAAACAGTCTTATAAAACATTAAGCCAATGCACCAGACACTGCAGAGCACATAAAATCAAATAACCCAGCAATAACGTAACAAATAACGGAACTACAATATGTACTTAACCTCCCTATACAATTCCCCATAGTCCCACACCACCATTATCCCGACCTACCAATAGACATCTCCTCACAGGCCAGGGAGTAAAAGTAAGCTTTGCAATGTGCTTTGAAGGCTGTCAAATTCAGACAATTAACTTTTTTTTTTTCAAAATTATTTTTCATATGCCATTGGTAAATTCTTTACACAAATTTGAAACAAATATATTCCCATTTACATCATATTTTTCTGAATATAACTCTGCTTTCATTGGACTGCATGCAACAACCTCACAGAAGTTTTAAAAATTAAAAATGACTGAACAGGAACTGTATTTTATAATATTTTATTTAAATGCCATTGATCTTGATTAGCTTACCTTGTATTTGTCACCTTCATTTTTAGACTGTAAGAAGTGCTTGCTCATCTCTTGGGTTAAAACAGACACAGGATTATCTACCTGTAACACCACATTTACAAACAATATAAGTATTTTAAACTGAGTTAATGTTAATGAAAGCACAAGACAGAAACGGGAAATGAGGTTTCCATTTTTCCTACATTCCTCTATCAACTTGACTAAGTCATGACCTGGACGAGCCACATCTCAAGGAAAGACATTAGTCCAGTCTTCTTGTTCATTAAACTGACTGCTGAGTCTTCCAAGAAGGCACACGCTAAGGCAAAAGAGAGGTACCCCGTGGGAGTAGTGTTTACGACGTGAACACTGGTTACTAGGACGCGAAATGAAGGTAAAAATATATATGTGGGGAGGAGGATGGAGGAGGTATGGTCTGGTATGGTTAAACAGACCACTGAACAGCTATAGAGTGTCATGATTTTCTCCACGATTGATCTGGAATCAATTCTATATGAGTGAAATAAAGATAAGAATCCATCTTCAGTTCCATAAACCATTCAGCACATCCCAAAAAATTATACTTGGCATGGAAATTCCAACAGAAGCAGTACAATATTTACATTAAGTTGTAACATATTAAAGATTTTCTCTGCATATGTTGCATGTGTGTTGCTGTAACACATTTTATAGGGCTCTGAATAGTAGTACATATTGTTCTTCACCGAATCACTTAACAGGAAGAAAACTAACCAAATAGGTCTCTGCTAGAACAGGTTGATCTACAGACCGTCTGCAGAAACTGAGTAACATAAGATAAGATACTATATATACCAATTACAGTAGAACTTCAGAGTTACGAATTCCTCAGGAATGGAGATTGTTCATAACTCTGAACAAAATGTTATGGTTGTTCTTTCAAAAGTTTACAACTGAATATTCGCAAAAAGAAAAGGAGTACTAAATAAATTTGTTAGTCTCTAAGGTGCCACAAGTACTCCTTTTCTTTTTGCTAATACAGACTAACACAGCTGTTACTCTGAAACCTGTCAACTGAATATTGACTTAATACAGCTTTGAAACTTTACTATGCAGAAGAAAAATGCTGCTTTCCCTTCATTTTTTTTAGTAGTTTACATTTAACACACTACTGTACTGTATTTGCTTATTTTTTGGTCTCTGTTACTGCCTGATTGCGTACTTCAGGTTCTAAATGAGGTGTGTGGTTGACTGATCAGTTCACACCTCTGGTGTTCGTAACTCTGAGGTTCTACTGTATGGATGAAACAACAGGCATCAATACATAAACTGGGAATTCCCAGAACAGCATGACTGAATCCCAAACATGAGGTCACACCTGGTTTGCTTATTTGGTTTATCCAATCTCTATAGCAAATTCATATCCTGCAGAATGTAAATTTTCTGTTTTTCCTTTTCAAACCTGAGTTCTTAGCCACTGCCTGTAAAGATAACCTTTTGAATGTAAATGATGCAGCACTGTGTTAGTATGAAAGAACTGGTGTTCTCGTTCATCAAAATGCAGCATGCTTTAGCAAAAGTGTTCAGTTTGCCTCTACAAGTAATGTAGAACTCTAACAAATATTTCAGTAATTACCTGTATATTAAAGTGATCCAATATTGCAGTAAGTTCTTCTTTCTTAGAAGAAATTAACGTCCCTGAAAGTATAAAAAAAAAATGAAAAAACCCGTATCAGTTTATATCCAAAATCATAGATAAGTACAAAAAATGTATAGCTTGATATACTGTGACTGAATGCACCACTGCATTCACACTCTACACACTATTCTAATAATCTCTGTACAAAATATACACTGTGAGGTATCACTTGAAAACTAATAGCTCACTGGTCAATAATATGATCGTAAAATGTATGCAGCAACATTATTTAGTTATTAACATAACATTATGCAAAGTTATTAACAAACTGCAATTATGACTGAAATACGTTTAGGAGACAAGTCTGGGGACTGGCTAAACCAGTTTCTCAAAGACAAAGGACAAGTTGATGCCTCTAGCCAGGTGTCAAAGTTGATTGGCAATAACCTGTCAAGTAACCATTCTTTGGCAACAAGGGGTGAACCAACCTGTCACTAGTCAGAATGTGACAAATACTACTTAGTATTTCTTAATTAATTGTAAGAACATGGCTAATAATTTCACAGTACTGTTAAAGTCAGAATACAGAAATGCAAATATGCTACTAGAAAGATATTAAGCTTTACTTTTTAAAATAATGGAAGTTACATTTTTTGTTTATTCATTTTATTATTCAAGCATCTCTCTCTCTCAGAGCCAGTATAGAAAAACTAGCTAACGCTGTCATATCCTTTTGAATGTTCACTGGCTCACAGGAAATACCTAATCCTCCACAAACATACGAAAGACAGTAATGAAAATATTTATTTCAAATGCTTTAAAATTGAAAATGAAGTACTGCCAAACCTGTTTTGCTTTTCAGTTTATAACTTCGACTTCCATCCATGCTAATGTGTTGAATCACAATAATAGAACTGCCATATACTTCTGGTTTAAATGCATCTTTACCTCGGTTTCTTAACGTTATTGAAACATCTGCAGAACTAAAATAAACATTAACTTAAAATATCTGAGTTTGAATCATTCAAGATAAAGAAATAGACTTTCCCCCAATAGATTTTCAATTCCTGTTTAGGCCACAACCGAAGTTAGTTGGGTCTGTTTCATCCTAATTGTAGATCAACAGAGAACTACCATGGCACTGTGTTTGTATAGGAGAGTTTGAGCTCCAAAGCAGAAAGTTCTATAGGCCAAACTGAGATGCATGGTCAGAGCTGTCTGAGCTATGTGTCTGGATCTAACCATGATACTAGACCTTTACTTTTATGGGCACTCAGCTATAGTTCCATGTAAAACATAACGTTAAAAAAGGCTTTAAGTAGCATGTTAACAGAAAGTTTAAATCTATCTGAAAGGGTAGGATGCAGACTGGCTGTGCTGCAACAATTTTAGATGCTCTGATATTAGAGCAAAAGGCATTCCATTTGTCTCTGCTCAACTCAGTGAAAAAGTAATAAATCAAATAGATAACTGAATTAGTGCATAAGTCAACTTTCTACTTTGGGGGCTGAGAGGAACATTAACAATCAGCTCTGGGTATCGGACAACCCATTCCAGATGAAAATAAGGTTCCACGGAAGAAGGGGATAAATAGGCTGCTCAAAGTAAAGAGTTTAAAGAAAGTTCAGTACTTATGGGCATTCTTTAAAATATTTAAGTTATCTTAGAATTGACTACTGAGAGGAAATGAAATTTCTATTTATATAGCAGTTTAAAGACTGTGACTAAATTTCAGATTAATTTAAAAAATTTAGTCGTTTCAGATATCACACCGAAGTCCAACCTACTAATTTTTATTATTTTAAAACCACACGTTCCTGTATTTTTAAAAATGTTTCTCATCCTATAAAAGGCCCAATAAAGCAAAAAAGAAAACTAAGGACTTTGTAACTCAATGGACCAAACTAACTTTAAACATCAAACTAACAGCCCACCTCAAACAAATAAATACACTGTTTCACTTACTTCTCTCCATCTTTCACAAATACTTTCAAGGAGGATCCTCTGTTAGTTGTGGTAGCTTTTCCCCCAAGCCCAACAATAAGAGCAGTTAATACAGCACTCTTCCCACCTGAAAAAGCAAACAAGCAATCTTCTATTTATACAATTCAATTACAGTGTATATAATTTTAGCCAAACCTGTACACATCTAAGTCAGACTAATAAAACTGAAAATAGAGTTTAAGAATATCTATTGTAAAAGATCTGATAGGCGCATACACCAACCATTCCAATGTTGGCAAAATATTACCACTTTTCCAGTTTTTATTCCACAAAAAGCTTTCTTAGTTCAATGTATTCAAACTGAGTTGAAAAGAATATCCCTAATTTTGTCTCCTAACATAAACAAGTATAGGTCAAGTAGTTCACGTCCAAATTTGAGAAGTAATAGTAGTGTTTGTGCATTTTGTTTTTTCAAAGCCATACTAAAAGATTTTACAGAACAAAAAATTCAAAGATCACCATTTTAAGTATGAAAATAATAAGTTTCTCCAGTGTCTGCAATCCAAACATTGCAGTGCTCCACTAGGACAGAACACACAAAGAGCAAAAGTGATTAGAAATGCAAGCTGAGGTGACTAGTTATTTTTCTATTTATTGATTTGTCCAAGCAGGTGAAATGCACAAGAAAAATTTAAATTGGTTTGTTTTACCTAACACCCGTCCTTTAAATTATGAATAAAGGACCGATAAACTTACTAAAAACCCGACTTGAAAAAAACCCAAACTAAACAAAAAGTCATGCATTTTAGCCCCTTGAAGGTAACAACGCGTTTAACAAGAGTTATTTTCCAGAGCTTGAATGTGCAAGAGTTCAGTTCATACTGACCTTTTACCTCTAATCACAAAATAATTTTCAGAGAACAAGAATTAAGACAAATCATGCACCAGATAAAGTTTTCTCAATTTCTGTACATTTTGGATCTATTCTGAAAGTAGTGAGTCTACCAGTTGCGTAGTATTTTTCTTTTGGACTTTTTGGTTTCTTGTCTTATCACAACTCTGTTCTCCACTTGAAGAATATTTATTTTATATCTATCTATACACTTGCTTTGGGGCATACTTTACAGATTTTTGTAATGAACTTCCATAGACTCACAGAATCGTAGGACTGAAAGGGACCTTGAGAGCTCATCTAGTCCAGCCCCCTGCACTCATGGCAGGACTAAGGACTATGTTGTATTGTATAAATTAAAATCACAACATACAGAAACCTCTATCTTGTTTAGCACTGAGACAAACATTAATGAAAAAGCAGAAGTTTGTATAAATAATGATTTTCCTTTTCTGTAGTTAAAAGGAAGACTTTTTAATGAACTTTGGCTCTAAATATTTAGGAACATATTTGGTTTAGTTTTTGGATAAGTCCCCCAAAAATGCCCCTGACAGAGAAATGAGAAAATTAATACTTACTTCCATTGTTTCCAACCACAAAGTTTACATTGGATCCAAACTGAAAGGGCCCCAACATTGAATGGCACATGAAGTTCTTCAATTGGATGCTTTCAATTATCCCCACTTCCCCTGAAGTCTACAGAAATATCATGAAAATGACATAAATCAAACACAAAACTGAGTCACGTAAAATGAGAAATTAAAATGAGAGCTTAGTGATAAAATGGCAGTGGTAACAAAAGTCATATACTTTTGTAGCCAAAACAGGACAACAGATGGAAGGGCTTTAGGTGATGATGCATACAAATTACACAACAATATGAAAATGTACAGTTGGTGGTGTAATTCAGTCATAAGGTAGCATTAAATGCAAATAGTTATCAAAATCCTTCATTTATCAAAGATAGTTTTAGGGTACATCTACACGGCATACTCCTTTCCATAGCATTAGAGTATATGCACCACAGACACCCCTCCAGCATGGGTATAAATAGCAGTGTAGATGATGAGTCACTGCGTAGGTTAATAAAGACACTTCCTGAACCCTGCAGGTATGTACCTGAGTATGTACCGTACAGGGCTCTCTACTTGCCCACACAGTGCCTCCCTATGTACGCTGCCATATTTAGCAGTGTAGTGTCCTGCTGTTGGAGTCTTCCCCTGCAGCAGGGAGGCAGTAGGGAAAGGCTCCAGCAGCTCCCTGCTTCTGGGGACACATGTAGCTACACACAGCAGTGTGGATGCAGCCTGCCTTTCACTGTGGGGTATAGGTACACAAGAGGTATGCCGTGTATATATAGTCTTAGTTTTTCCCCTTTAAGTTACCGAGTCATGAACATCTTACACAGCATGCTTTTATTATTTAGCTTTCATGTGGTATAATTTTCTTCATACACCATATAGATTTTTTTTTTTTTTTTTTACAATAATCTTTACTCTTTTTAAACAACTTTCAAAGTTGGGAAGAAGGAGCTGAATTTAGAAGCAGAAGGGATAATCCAGTGGCAAAATGTTGAAATATATTTTGTTAGAAAGTTTTTAGGGTAAAGTTAAAGCTTTTGGAATACATTTCTCTGTACTTTGTTTCCTAGAAACAAGTAACGGTTTTAAGCATATATAAAGGCCACCTGTAACTTGAGTTCTCACATCAGACAACACAACACTGCATTTGAAGAGCATTTCTTCTTAAAGCATTTTTTCTTAAAATATTTATCTCATTATGACTCATCTACTCTAGAGAGCAATAACGATGACATTCATCCTCATTTTATTTTAAATTACCACTTTACACAAAAAAAATATTTCAAAAATATGATTCTATATTGATGGTGTCACAAAGTATTTGGGATATGTTTAACAAGCTACAGTGGCTCCAACTGCTCCTTTCAAGTCACTCATTTATCTTTTAAATACTTCCCACCCACCCCCCATTTTTGTGCAACATAAAATCAACTTGCACAACATATTTGGTTCATTTTTGGATGACTAACCAAACATTTTGTTTCCTTAACTTGGTTGCCTATGTTTTTTGCCCTCAGAAGTAATGCAACTGACGGTGGTTGCCAATGCAACTTATGATTTTAATTTTAAACAATGCTTAGTTGCCATGAGTATGTATTGCACAAATTATTAAAGTTGCATTTAAAAAAAGTAATCTTTACTGTCTATTCCAAAGGACAACTGGGGACTGTAACAGGCTGTAAAATTTATAAAAGGATCAAAACAGAATGCTTCAAGAAATTGTGTAACACGTGCGTATGAATCTGAGGAAGAGATCATTATGGTTGATAGCACCCTAAAAAATTATTCTAGAGGAAAGATGTTTCCTCAAATGTAGCAGAGGACAACTGAAGACGACAAGATAGAAACATCACTGGTAGCTTTATTTTCATATTGTTCCCTCTGCAGCCTACATGCAAGACCCTCCTGCTTTACAATCAACCTGAGTCAAACAGTAGTATATTTATACCAGTTTGCTTATTTCCTCTTTTTTAACACTACCATTTCTAACAGGACACACATCTTACCGACTGCGAACTGGAATTACTGTCAGACTGAAACTGTGAACATTCTTCTTCATCAAGCTCATCATTAGATTCATCTGTGTATTCCTGTCTTGGCCTTTTGTGGAATCCAGGTTTTGAAAAGCTTTCCTCTTTTCTCTTACCCATAAGTACTGAAAAAAAGTAGGGTAAATCGTAAGTTCCAGTTAGCTAAACGAAAAATATCTCAGATTGTAACACACAGGTCTATATCGACGTAAAAATATGAATGATCACAAAGAGCAAACTGACAGAAGCTGCCCACTTTTGAAGCAATATTGACAAGTCCCAGTAAAACAAAGTGAAAATTAAGTCAGACAAAAAGAAAAAATTTTGAAAACCTAAAGCTGAGCAAACCCAACAGAAAGGCATCAGTGCTGGTACAATTATGGTAATGACGACAATTGGACTATAAATGGATAGCTCCTATTCAACTTAGAGGTTTAGTTATGACACTAACAAAGTACACATTGTACTGGAATTTATTTATTTCTGGAGTACCAAAGTATGGTTAGCACTACAGGAAGCATGGGAGGGAAGCACACTTCTGCATCAAAAAGGAACAATAAAGTTTCAATCATGCAAACACTCATTCACATTTTAATTTTATGTATCTAAGCATTCCCACTAACTTCAGTGGGTCTGCCCAGTAAGTAAAACTAAGCCTGTGCAGAAGTCCTTGCAGGATCCAGAAATGTCAACAGTTTCAAAACACTACTCCAATGTTAAAAGATTTCTAACTGGTTAAGTTCTTCTACTCAGGATCTCAACTTTGTGTGACACACGATTTACTTGAAAAATATCTTTCATGAACATACAGCAAGGGCACAATTCTACAAGTTGCTAAACACCCTGTGCAAGGTGCTTAGAAGCCCTGAACACTGAAGTCAACAGGTGTTAAGAACTCAGTACTCACCTCTACAAGATAAAGCACTAGCTGGCAGACGAGGACTGGTTTCAGATTTAAAAAAAAATAAAGAATTACCAGTCTTAAAGAATTTAACATATCCAAAGTTAATAGAGCAAGTGAAGTTACTCAGCAGGTGAGGCTCAAGAAAGATAAATCCCAAGTGCACACAAGTGGCTCTGTCATTAGACCATGAAGACACTTGTCACTTGACAAGTTTACAGACAGCGCAGAGCCTATGCTGAAAGCCAGTCACTCATAGCCTAATGAAAAATAAAACAGTATCAAGGAGGCCTTACACCAGGGTTACATCTGTTCCATCCTACTTCCTGTTTGATTGGAGAGAGAAAAGACAAACAGATAAAGATAGAACAGGGTAAAATCACCTCACCTGCTGTCAGTAAGAAAGCTGGGCTTACTTTGTCATTGCCGAGACAAAGTCCCCATTTCATATGTTTCTGAAATGAACCCAACACAGGTTTTAGATGTTGTGTAGAATATAATATTAAAGAATTAGAGTTAACTTAAGTTTGGTTAAAGAAATACGTGTTGTAAAGAAAAACACAAACCAGTGTTATTTCAAAAATTAGGGCCGAGGTTAACCCACATGCAAGGGAAAAACTGTTGTTCAGCAAGGAGCGAAGAGATAGGGAGGAAAGGCCTTGGGAAGACAGGAGATTGTAAATCTTATCTGAATTAAGACTGGAAATAAAGATGAATTGTCTCAATTGTTTTTAGGTGAAGTAGATAATTGGCAATGACATCATTTGTTCATTAAAGGGCATTAAAAAGTAAAGGTTCATTGCTAATACCTGCCTGACCAAGATGATCTAAGCATTCCTAGGTTTAGCCCATTTGTAAGTATCTTCATCAAATGTTTATAAACGTTTTATATTACTGTTTGGACATAGTAAATTACTTATTATTTTGACTTTTTAATCATGTTTAGAGCATATAAAGGAATTTATGGTTAAACTGGTGTTGTGGTAATACACTGCACGAATAATAATTAAAGCCAAGATTTTGTCATGGATATTTTCAGTAAAAGTCCCAGACAGGTCACAGGCAATAAAGAAAAATATCCATTACAAAATGGGAAGCTGCTGGGCAGCTGCAGGGTGGGGATGGCTGGGAGCTCCGGGGGCCCCTACCACTCATGGAGGCTCATAGCTCCAGGGTCCCCCTCCACCTGTGGTTTGGAGCTCCAAGTGTCCCCTGCCCCTGAGGGGGCTGGTGGCTGCGGGCATCCCCCTGCCACCTGCGGGGAGCTGCTGGGGTAATAATAATTCTAGCATGCTGTAATCAAGTAAAGATTAGGACTGAGATTTTCAAAGTTACCATTAATTTTTATGGGAACTGAGCTGAAGAATTCCTTTAGGCACCTTTGAAAATCTCTCACTGTGTCTAAAAGACAAATAAACAAGTGTCACAATTTAATTATGATGTTTTCCTATGGAAATTATAAGCAGTGAGTAAACTTTTAAGATTAACATTAATGGAAACAAACAAAAAAAATACAGCTAAATTGGTTAATTTTCATTACTAAGGCCTCATCTATTCTGGAGATTAGTTCTGATTGATTAATCAGTGGACAACAACCAGCGTCATGACCAAATTTTTCCTGCAGATATGGAAATATTAAAAAAGAAACTATATCTTTCCTTCAGATAATAGAATACTTTACATCCCAAATGAAACTGTAACAACATGGACTGAATGATCATCACACTCTTCACTTCAGCCACTATAATTGATGAACAGCAATTTAGGGTGGGTTTTCCTTGGGGAGGCAGAGGAAAGAGTGGAAATTCTCTCTAGTCACTAAAAGAAAAGGAGTACTTGTGGCACCTTAGAGACTAACCAATTTATTTGAGCATGAGCTTTCGTGAGCTACAGCTCACTTCATCAGATGTATACCGTGGAAACTGCAGCAGACTTTATATACACACAGAGAATATGAAACAAAACCAGTTGTTTCATATTCTCTGTGTGTATATAAAGTCTGCTGCAGTTTCCACGGTATACATCTGATGAAGTGAGCTGTAGCTCACGAAAGCTCATGCTCAAATAAATTGGTTAGTCTCTAAGGTGCCACAAGTACTCCTTTTCTTTTTGCGAATACAGACTAACACGGCTGTTCCTCTGAAACCTCTCTAGTCACTCTTTTCCTACCAGAATTATTTGTTCCGTTGCTCAGAACATTCAATAGCTGTCTTGCTACAGTATATTTCTTCCCCTCCCCTCCCATATTTTTCTGTAGTGGTCTTTCACCAAGTATAACAATAGACTATTCGCCTTCATCAGCAACTCTAAGATTTCAGTTGCTTCTCCCTTATTCCATCCTTTTCTAGTGATTTTAGAAATAATTCACCCTAAAGGAAAGTTATAAATGGAGCACCAGAAAGAAATAACCACTCTCTGTCCTAATGCTAAAAATAAACCCACATCACTTCTCAACCACACTCTGGCTCCAACTAGAAGAGTTTCCCATTCCTTCTAACCTTGTGTAATAGGCAATATGTGACAGTTTTAGGATTGACAATTTGGAAAGCACCTAACACACTGAGAGCACTACAACGAACAAACATGTGAACCCTGGTTGCCTGGTCCATGAAACTGTCCCACACAAAAATATACTACAGAGATCTGAAGACCAGGCTAACAGATCCCTCTGTTGCAAAGTACCATATTTTGTCCAATTACAGAATGGTTTCCAGATTTTGCAGACCACTTCCATTGGCCTGATCTAGTGTACAGAGACTACAGTTTATCATGCTGGCCAGTACTGTCTCACTGTTTACACATACTCCGTTGTCTTTAGCTTAACGAAACAGAATTTAAGGGGTATCTACATAGGGAAAAAATATACAATGGGCTCTTCAGTCTACCACAGAAAGATAGGACACAATCCAATGGGTGGAAATTGAAGCCAGATACATTTAAGATGGAAATAAAGCATAAATGTTTAACAGTGAGCATAATTAACCACTGAACAATTTACCAGTGTCATGGTGGAGTCTCTATCACTGACAGGTCTGAAATCAAGATTAGATTTTTTCTAAAGGTAGGCTCTAACGGATACCGGTATTAGTTCTAGGCAGTCCCGGGTTATGATCACAGGGGTCACTTCTGGCCTTGGAAGCGACGAGTCTGTCTGTTTTGCCTAGTAAACGCTTCTGGGCAGGGGCTGTCGTGTTCTGTGTCTGGGCAGCGCCGAGCACAATGGGCTCCCTGGCCCCCATCGCTCACGAAAACCAGGATCTAGCCTAGTGGCACCTGGGGGTACAATACAACGCAACAGTTTTTGATACACTGGGAAGAGCCACGTTAGTGTGACCACAGGTTTCCCACGGCCACCCAGGGACTTGCCAGCCTGGCCACCAAGGACGCCATCCTAACGCGCTGCCCAGCAGCTCCACCGGCCCCGCGAGCGGGGGCGGGGGCTCAGGCGACCCCCCCTTCCATGAGGGTAGGGCGATTTGCCTGCGCCAGCGGCTGTGCCGGAGAGCCCCGCGCTCATCGCGAGGAGAAGCGGCTCCCCAGGCGCCCCGCTTACCTCGCGGGCAGGAGGGCGGGGCTGCGGAGAAGGAATAGCGGGTATCGTTAGGATCCGTTTAGATTTGAAACCCGCTCCGAGTCCCAGCGTTCGACCCCGCGCTGCCCTGCCCTGCCCTGCCCCCACCCCCAGCTAGGCTGCAAGCCTGCGACCACCGGCCGGAAAGGGAAAGCGGGCGAACCCGGTCCCCGCGCCTGAGTGCGCACGCGCGGTCCGAGTACTTCCGCGCCCCACCACCTCGCGGAGGTGGAGCCGCTTCTGGGAGGGAAGGTGGGAGGGTCCCGCGCCAAATACGAATCCGACGCTGAGGCCGGGACTGAGTGATACAGTCTGTAGAGTGCGACGTCGTGGCGCTGCCGGCCGCACAGGTGGGACCCCCTGGAGACTGGTTCGTTTCCCAGCCCCCACCCCGCCTGGGCTGTTCCCTTCTCTCACCCTCCTCCCCACCACACCCGCGTTCGGTGCCCAGCCCCCACCTCGCCTGGGCTGTTCCCTCCTCTCAGCCCCCTCCCCCACCACACCCGCGTTCGTTTCCCAGCCCCCACCCCGCCTGGGCTGTTCCCTTCTCTCACCCTCCTCCCCACCACACCCGCGTTCGGTGCCCAGCCCCCACCTCGCCTGGGCTGTTCCCTTCTCTCACCCTCCTCCCCACCACACCCGCGTTCGGTGCCCAGCCCCCACCTCGCCTGGGCTGTTCCCTCCTCTCACCCCCCTCCCCCACCACACCCGCGTTCAGTGCCCAGCCCCCACCTCGCCTGGGCTGTTCCCTTCTCTCACCCTCCTCCCCACCATACCCGCGTTCGGTGCCCAGCCCCCACCCCGCCTGGGTTTCCTGTTCCCTCCTCTCACCCCCTCCCCCACCACACCCGCGTTGGTGCCCAGCCCCCACCCCGCCTGGGTGCCCAGCCCCCACCCCCCCGCCTGGGCTGTTCCCTCCTCTCACCCCCCTCCCCCCCCCCGTTCAGGCCCAGCCCCCACCCGCCTGCCCCTCCCACCCCCTCCCCACCACCCGCGTTCGGTGCCCAGCCCCCACCCCGCCTGGGCTGTTCTCTCCTGTCACAACCCCCCCCCACACACACAAACACACCCGCGTTCGGTTCCCAGTCCCCTCCCTACCTGGGCTGTTTCCTCCTCTCTGCGTCCCATCCCACACTAGTTCTCCCCTTCTCCTTCCCCCCGCCCCCCGGCTCGGATCCCCTCCCACACTCACTCTCCTGACACACAGGTCACATCTTGGTCTCCCTAAAATATCCAACCCTGTGTTACATCCCAGTTGCTCCTGCTTAGCATCCTGGGGATGTGTGTTTATATTCGGACCCCATCAAGACTGTTACCTGCTTCCCACTGTGGGGACCTGAACTCCAATCCTGGCCTTGCCCTGGCTCCCCAAAAACAGTGCAGGAGCCCTGGATGCAGTGTAGCCTATAGTCCCCCAAGAACCTAGTATCAGGAGTGAGCTGCAGCGGTTTAGTGAAAAGAAAAGGAGTACTTGTGGCACCTTAGAGACTAACCAATTTATTTGAGCATAAGCTTTCGTGAGCTACAGCTCACTTCGTGAGCTGTAGCTCACGAAAGCTTATGCTCAAATAAATTGGTTAGTCTCTAAGGTGCCACAAGTACTCCTTTTCTTTTTGCGAATACAGACTAACACGGCTGTTATGCTGAAACCAGCAGTTTAGTGGTGGCCCACCAGGGATATTAGTTGACAGTTCCTCCAGGGAGCCAGAAGCACAGGCATATGTATCTGATGCAGTTCGCAGAATTCCCTAACACCTGTCCTTTCTGCAGCAAGAGGGAGACTGTGCTGCACATTTGCATAGAGAAGAGATCCCCAAACTGTGGGGTGCACCCCCTTAGGGTGTGCAGAGGAACATTTGGGGGGACACAGCAGGGCCCAGACCAGCCCCCACGCAGAGGGGGGAGGGGGTTGTGCAGGAGCACCACCCAGCTTTGCTCCCAGCCCTGGCCACGGCTCTGCACCCGGCTGCTGGCCCCCACCATGGTCCAGCTGCAGCCCCAGCCTTGGGCCCCTTACCTCGTCCATGTCTCCCTGCCCCTGGAGCCACAGCCTCCTGTGGAGGACAGACAGCAGTAACGGGGGGCAAGACCCTGAAAAGTTTGGGACACTCTACTCCAATGGTCTTGAGGGGCTGCCATCTGATGAACCTCCTACTGAGGTTCTGGCTGCACTTCTCCCCACACCTCATTTACCCACACCCCATCCATGTCCTCAGAAAGTCACAAGACCTCGTTGTCAGCCTCCTGGCACTGGCATCTCTGTGACTGTGGGGCTTATTTCTGGTCCCTTGTCTCACACCTCCAAGCAAAGTTCCTTGGGCAGTGTCCACTGGCTCCCTAGACACCTTTGAGGAGCAGTGTGCACTGTTGAGTGTTCTCTGGTCTATTTCCTGTTCTAGTTCCCTGCTTTTTAACTTTTGACCCTCCCTCCATTCTTGTTTGTTCATTTGTTGCCCCAAGACTTCAGTTATGGCCTGGGTGAGTGGATAGACCTTTAGTTCTGGGTGGGCCGTCCCAGTACCCACAATCATAGGTGCTGACTCCATGGGTGCTCTGGGGCTGGAGCACCCACAGAAAAAAAATCGTGGGTGCTCAGCACCACCAGCCCCAGTTGTTTGGTGGCACCCTGAAACAGCTGATTGTAAGCTGGGGGAGGGCAGTGAGCAGGTGAGGGCCTTGGGGAGGGAGCAGAGCAGGGGCAGGAAGAAGCGGAGTGAAGGTGGGGCCTGAGGGAATGGGGTGAAGTGGGGGTGGCCCTCAGAGCAGAGTGGGGGTGGAGCACCCTGGGGAAAAAGAAAAACTCAGTGCCTATGCCCCAATGGGTTCAGGATTTTAGTGGTTCTCTTCCCTTTCCCCCTCCAAAATCCACTAATGCTGAGAATACACATGGATTGGTAAAAGTATTGGTATTTTAAGGGCAGATGCAGCATTGTATGCAGCCTAAGCAGCTAGTAGCATGGGGACTTAATGGTTTTATTCTTGTGTTTTACTTACAGAAAGAAAGAATTGCAAGTGTTTAATCTTGTGCAACATGTCTTTTTATATTTGAAGAGTAAGACTAAATTGCACCGAATGTGTTTTGCGTTTCATTTCATAAAACTTTTTCACTCTTTTGTCCTACTGAAAACAAGGGGATATCCCACAGATGAAATAGCAGTGGGTGATGCACTTTGGGAGCTTAGGTGTGTTGGCAAAGCTGTGTGGTGATATCTCAGGACTTGGAATACCGGTGAGGATTGTAGTTCAAAACAAGTATTTGCAGAACTCTCCCGTGTGGGGAGATCTCAGTATGGGAAGGGCAGGGGAACTGTAGGGCAGAATTGAGGGGCATTGGCCAAGATTTCTTGGATAAATTTGCATAGTCAGATGACCTGTCTAAAGCAAACCATTAATTGTCATCAGCTTTAAATTCGTTTACTCATTTTAAGTACTCCCTTTGTTTTTGTTGAGTTAATTGTAATCATGTAAAATGTTCATTGTTTGTAAGACTTACTGGCTCTAAACTTTTAAAGGCTGGTTTACAAGTCTAGATCCTGGACCTGATGTCAGTGACTGTATTGCAATTCACTTTTGTGGAAGCCAGACCAACTCCCTAAATTTTGTTGTTGTTTTTATTATAACATCAACAGTGTTTTAGGGTGATTTACAGACTTACAGGAAAAATAAGGTCCTGCTGTGAAGATGTAACCTTCTCTAAGGTATAGAAGGTGGGGTGGGAGATTTGGTATAACTGAGGCCCCTGAAATAAAATCTGTTTAGATGGGTCTTTTGCAAAGAGCCCCATTCAAGACAGTACAGTTTTCTGCAAGATGGTTAGCACCTAAATCATTTAAATGACAAAAATAAAAGAACTTCCAAAATTTATTATGGCACGTCTAGCTACTTCAGCAACTAATATACTTTGAATCATGGAAAGGAAAAATCACATCCCTAGTTATAAATTAATATTTTACTATGATGTTGAGAAACATTGTCTTGTTTTATTTTTCATTTTGTAAGTTGCCTTAGCCACACTTTTGTCTATATAGCTACTTCTGCATGTGTATGGAATTAGAAATACTTTTTGATGCATTTATCCTCCCTTTGCATTAATACTGATGTGCTATGTCATCATAGTACTAATAAACCAATTAACACAAAGGTTATAGGAAGCTATATAAGAAACGTAGACTGATTTATAGGCAACAAATGGTAACATCAAAAGGGCTTTTTGTTAAGTGTTGGCTCGTTCACCTCCCAAAAAGCTGGAAGTCCCAGTTAGGTGGTAAGAAGGTTAATTTTCCCCCTGCAGAGTGCTCTGTTCAAGGCTTTCTATTTTTTAAAGGTAACTACTGGAAATATTAAAATATTATGGTGGCAAAAAAGAATACTTCTGTGTAGTTTTAAAGCATCTTTTATCTGAGTAAGTATATACTGTTGACGCTACTACTTAGCAAATGAGTGTCTCTGCGGTCATGTCTACACAGCAACTAGACACCCACAACTGCCCCGTACCAACCACTCAATCTTGGACTGCAGGATTCTTTCATTGCTGTGTAGACTTCTGGGCTTGGGCTGGAGTCTTGGTGCTAGGACCTTGCAAGGTGGGAGGGTTCCAGAGCTTGGGTTCCAGCCCAAGCCCTGAAGTCTACACAGTAGTGGAACAGCTCTGCAGCCCCAGTTGGCTGGTACAGGCCAGCCCCGGGTGTCAGCAGAAACACAGCAACTAGAGTGGGAAAAATCTCAGTTTCCTGTTTCTGTTCTCTTGCCTGTGCTGTTCACAACATCAGATTTCTTACAGTGCAAGAGGTAGCCCAACACACAATTTTTTTTTTACAGATTTGCACTCAGGGCCACTTAATTTCTTACAATGCCTGTTCTGGTACATAAAACTTCAGAAGCATAGCTATGCCAATGTATTTGACTTGTATTACTAGATACTTTCCAAATGCCCATCGGGCACAAAAATGCTTAATATAAGTCATCAGCTCTTTACTAGCCAATTAATTAACTTCTGGGATTTCCCAGCATTTAGAAGCTGAAGTTCTTAAGTCCTTAGAGAAAGGAAGCCTACATTGTTGCTAAGGGGGATAGTTTTCTTGCCAGACACAGTACTACAATTTAGCAGGCATGTGCTTTTTCTCTTGTTAAATTTATCTGTTTGAAAAATTATATTGGCTCCCACTGCAAAGCAACTGGTCACCTTACCATTATGTTTATGAAAAGAAAAAGCAGCCTTTGGGCTTCAAAAGCCAGCAGAGAAGCCCTTTGCTCAACAGCAAAAGTATCAATATCCAGTAAAAAACTAAAGCAGAAATCTTTCAGAGGTCAAACAAGGTAACATTTCCAAGCTTGGCTTCTTAAAGGTAGGAGCGTAATTAAGTGACCTGATTGGGGCCAGGAAACAAAGGTGCTTAACCACCCAGAGTGAGTGGTTTCCCTAGAAAGGAAAGGAAACTGTATGTGCTCTGCACTTCTGAAAATCAGTCCACTTATTTGAGTGAATTAATACAGATTTAGGTCCTGCAAATTCCAGAGGCATGGACCATCTACTGGGAGAATGTAACCCCTGAAAATCAGTAGTGAGAAGTCCTTCAATTAGAACAACTTGTAATTCCTGCAATGAGAGCAAGAGAAATAACTGATCAATTAGCTGAATCCCAGGTATATAGGGCTTCATACTTCTTTGTTAGTGTTGCATTAACACTGTTTCTCTGATACCCCTTTTCTGTGAAAGCCACATGCTCAAGAGGCTGCTAGATGGCAGCATTCCTCATCTGTATCCAAACTTCTCTGCAGTTGTCTTCCTATTTGATACAATTTTGACCTACAGGGTCATGATTTGCTCTCGAAAGTAGTGCAAAACTCTTTAAGCACAAACAATCTTTTTTTCTTAATGTGACAATGTAACCTGATTGCTGTCATTTCTATGAGAGATTTTCTTTATTTCAAAAGTAAAATAGACACATTCATAAACCATTAACAACAGTGATTTAAAAAAAAATCCAATTTCTATTTAAGTCTATTTCTTATTGAAATGTAGAGAAATAAGCATAAGGAAAATGTATTTCTTCTCCTTCCAAGAGGAATGGATTGGTGTTGTGGTGAAGAAATGGACACTAGCAAAGAAGCAGGGTAGAGGTAAAAGGTTGATATTTTAAGAGTGGCAGGGGGTGAAAGTGAGAAGAGCACTGGAAAGGAGGGTCAGTTAAGGCTGAAGGGGATGGGAAAGAGGACGAGAAAACAGAAATAAAAGGAAATCAGATTACAGGAAGGAATGGGGGAGGGATTCAGGAAAGGAAGAATTTAGAGTCATAAGCAGAGAGAGTTAAAAGGAATGTATCCCATTTAATATACTGGGGTAGATCCTCAGCTTGTATAAATGATCATAGCTCCAGTGTGGAGCTGTGATCACTTCCACCACCTGAGGATCTGTTCCAGTGTCTTTCTGGTTGTGGACAAAAAGCATTATTTCCATAAAAGTAATTCCCAGATGTTCGACGGAAGTGGGAACTTCAAGAAGAAATAAAGGAGCATGAATTTCAAACAGTCTCACCCTCAGTTTTGGAATAGAAAGACACAATGGCATGTATCTGTGCTCTTTTCTTGTAGTCGAACAGAAATATGTTTATCCATAGAAATCCAGATTTTCTGTGAGAAATGATTGGGGCAGTAGATGTTCAGTTATCATGTAAAGTGAGAAAGAGGTACTTCAGATGTAGATGAAAATGATTTCTTAAACTGGACATCTTTACCATTCTGTTCAGACAGCACTGTAGCCTGTTTATAATAAAAGTTGTCCTACAAGGAGCTCATCCATTAAACAAGGGGTTTATAAACTGAAATCTCTAAATATTTGGATGGCTTGATTGTGTCATTCACTTAGTCCAGTGGTTCCCAAACTTGTTCAGCTGCTTGTGCAGGGAAAGCCCCTGACAGGCCGGGCCAGTTTGTTTACCTGCCTCGTCCGCAGGTTTGGCCAATCGTGGCTCCCAGTGGCTGCGGTTCACTGCTCCAGGCCAATGGGAGCTGCTGGAAGCGATGGCCAGTATGTCCCTCAGCCCGTGCCGCTTCCAGCAGCTCCCATTGGCCTGGAGCAGCGAACCGCGGCCAGCGATCAGCCAAACCTGTGAACGCGGCAGGTAAACAAACCGGCCGGCCCACCACAAGCGGCGGAACAAGTTTGGGAACCACTGACTTAGTCATTAACAGTTATTTTTAGAAGTACTTAGAGGACTTACTTCTGCCCTCCCCCCCCCCCCCCCCCCCAAAAAAAAAAATTACCACATTCCATATTATGAGCTGTAAACTTTTGTTTTGATCAGTCTTTACAACTGATGCCCTCACTTTGGCAAGAAGGAATTCAGGACAATGGGAGTGACTAATCTATGGCAGATCCTGGAGCCTGTGAAAGAACATGTTCATCTGAGAAGTCTCAGGGGAAAAACCCTTGCTGTTGATTTAAGTCTGTGGGTGTGTGAGGCACAGACTGTTAAAAAGATGATTGGAGTAGTCACCAAGCCTCATCTTAGGTACAGTATCTTTTTCTAAAACTGTAACTGTAACCGGTAAGTGTTTGAATCTGTATGATATAGTTTGCTCGTTTGGTGCTGTGCTTCCAGAATTATGCCAAGGTACTTCCAAAATCTATGGTAGTCCATATTACCATATAGTTATGTACCTGTACAAAGACTTGCAATACAAAATGGTATGAAATCTTTTCTGATATTTTTGTGTATGTTTTCCAAATGGCAGCTATAGAATCTTTTTGGGTGGATGGAGAAGCATTGGGGTAGGGCTATAATCCAATTGTCCTTAAGGTGTTTCTTTTGTTGTTTTTTTTCCTTGGTTTGAAACTGTGTAGGTTTCATTATGAAGTTTTGACCAACATGAAATTTCCATTTAGTGTATACACACCAGTTGTCATCAGGCTTAATTTGTAACTAAATTTTTCAGTGAAATTATTTACTTTGTTAATACAGGAATCTATTTTTTCGAATCTCTTCTTTAACCTCAATGGAAATCAAATTGGTGTTTGTGATGGAGGGGGATGCCCCAAAGCTGAAAGCAGAAACAATCAGTAAGAGGAATGAGCTGCGCTATGGGTCTTCGAAAAAACCTAGGGCTGCAAAAACAGGGAGATCCTATTTTAAATCCATTTTAAAAGAGGTGAGTGATAGAGGAATTTCATTATTTGTGGTATTAGAGAACGGAGATGGAGGAAAAAACATTTAAAAAAAAAAAGGAAAGAATTTACAATAAATCTGACAGAGAAATGACTCCACACAGATTTTTCAATGAGATTCTACCCCCTCCCCCAAAATTTACATCACTTTGAGATTGGATATAAATCCTTTAATTTGTTAAATTAAAAGTTTATGAACCCCCTTTTTTTGTGAAGTTCATATAAACTTCTTGGGGCAGTGTGTTCCCATATGTACTGTACAGCATTGAACACAAAGATGTCACTCACTGCAGAATGATCATTTGAATTAGCACATGTAAAAATAATGATGCACCCTCTGGAGTCTACACACTTAGTCTCCCCTAACTATGCAAATTTCAATACATTTTCATTAAACCCCAAGGTATGCATATTGACAGTAAATCCTAAGTAAATATAGTGCCTGTTAATAGTTCTAGGTTGACAATGCTGGAGACTCGTCTCTAGCTAAGCACACAATAGGCATTATGCAGGTAGTGTTGGCACAAGCTCTCTTCACCATTCCTTGGATGCACCTTAAACCTGACTTACTCTGTTCCATTCCTTAATTTCTTTGCTGATCCTGGTAAGAAGGTGAACTATTGTTGTGGTGATTTTGGCATCAGGACACCCATCCATTTGAAAGTAGATTGAAATTCTAGCACTTCTTCTAACAGCTGTTGCATGACAAGTCGCTCCAGTCATTATTGATCTGTGCTGGATTCAGACCAGTGATTATGAGGTAAAAGGCTTTGTATCTCATTACCAATTTCTCAAGCCATCTAATTCCTCAAAGCCTTTTTTCTTTTATATTTTTGATTACTTACCTAATAAACATATTTGTGTTGTATAGACCTGTGTATATGTCTCTAAAGCAGGAGTTCTCAACCTTTTTCTTTCTGAGGAACCCCAAACATGCTGTAAAAATTCCACAGCCTGTCCGTGCTGCAAGCACTGTTTTTATGTATTTTAAAGCCAGGGCCAGCATTAGTGGGTAGCAAGCAGGGCAACTGCTCAGGGCTCCTTGTGACAGGGGGCCCTGTGAAGCTAAGTTGCTCAGGCTTCAGCTTCAGCCCCAGGTCTGAGGCTTTGACTTTCTGCCTTGGGACCCAGCAAGTATAATGCCGGCCCTGCTTGGCGGACCCTTGGTTGAGAACCACTGCTCTAACGCATCTAGCACGCTTTTGGTCATTACATAAATAACACAATAGACTTGTTTTCTAGCCTAGATCTGTGAACCAGGCAAATAGCCATGTGTCATAAACATACAGCTAAGGGTAGCATAAAATCCCTCCTTTACCTGTAAAGGGTTAAGAAGCTCAGGTAACCTGGTTGGCACCTGACCAAAAGGACCAATAAGGGGAGAAGATACTTTCAAATCTGTGGGGGAAGGTTTTTGTTTTGTGTTTCTTTGTGTTCTCTCCTGGACAGCGAGGAACCAGGGCAGGGAAAATACATCTCCTAAAGCCATACCTGAACTAAGCATCTAAGATTACAAATTGTAAGTAATAGAAGGGAAATGCATTAGATTATCTTTTGTTTTAGCTTGTGAATTTTCCCTAGGCTAAGAGGGAGGTTTATTCCTGTTTTTTTTTGTAACTTTAAAGTTTTGTCTATAGGGGAATCCTCTGTGTTTTGAATCTGATTACCCTGTAAAATTACCTTCCATCCTGATTTTACAGAGGTGCTTCTTTTAGTTTTTCTTTATTATAAAGTTCTGCTTTTAAGAACCTGATTGGTTTTTAGTGTCCTAAAACCCAAGGGGCTGGTCTGTGCTCACCTTGTTTACTCTCAAGCCTCACCAGGAAAGGGGGTGAAGGGTCTTGAGGGGGATATTTTGGGGAAACAGAAACTCCAAGTGGTCCTTTTCCTAAATCTTTGTCTAACTCACTTGGTGGTGGCAGCGATACCATTCCAAGGACAAGGAAGAATTTGTGCCTTGGGGAAGTTTTTAACTTAAGCTGGTAGAGAGAAGCTTAGGGGGTCCTTCATGCAGGTCCCCACATCTGTACCCTAGAGTTCAACTTAGTTAGCTGTGAAAATGTTTAGTGAGAAATGTATTTAACTAGGTTGAAAGAACCAAGGTTGCAGCACAAATAGCTCTGTCAATCTGTATGGAAGTTTTTGTTTATTGATATCTTTCGTTACTAATTCCTCATTTCCTTAGTGTTCAGCTCTTTGCTTTCATGTCAAAATAATGTACTACATGATTGCTTGTGGCATGAAAAAATACATGGCAATATCAATTTGCATGTTGAATTTGTGAGCCTTGGACCACAATTACTACTGTCCTTTTAAGTAACATTGTAGAGCAATTAGTAACTTGGGAGATACTAATTGGGAGAGTCACTTGTTTGCCAGATTTCTTTTGTGATTGAAGTAAACTGTACTTAAAGTTTTTGATAGTGTTGGAAAAGTACTTATAGAACAGGAATGAAATGAGAGAAGACGTTTTATTTGCTTTGTTTGTTTGCTCTTCAAGGGCATGATCCAAAGGCCAGTGGAAATATTCCCTTTGATTTCAGTGGGTTTTGGCTCTGGCACCAGATGAATAACCTGAATAAAATATATTAATATTGTCAAGCTGCTTGGACTGAGCTATACTCCACTAGGACAGCAATTCTTACAATGTCACTTTTGTGGTTTTGATTTGTTAAAAATCCTGACTTGTGAAGAGAAGCCACCATAATAATTCAGTACAGTAACTTCAGGTAGTTTGCACACAACACTTCTACAAAGATAACCTTCCTTTTCTGCTGTTCTGACCATGATTTCCGCTGGACCCCTACCTCACTCATGTACATGCACAACTTTCTTGCATCTATGGATTGGCTCCTCTGTTCCTCTGCACATGCCCATCTATTACTTTTCCACTTAAGCTATCGCTGTAATTACCACAGAGATGTTATGTGATCATGAATGGGAGGGGACGTGGATCCCTGAGGCACTTCATTAAGATGCGATCCATGATGAAAGTTTAAGAAATCCTGTTTCATACTTTGTGTTGCCTATGCTCCACCCAAGCTTCACTCATTGTCTACTTCTGTGCCCCTTTCTGCACAGAAGCCTCCTAAGCAATGTATGCCAATCCTCCAGCCTCTCTCCTTCAAAAATCTGATGAGCCTATCTGATCTGCGAATTGTTCTGGCAGGAATGAGCACTAATCACTCAGTGTGTGTTTAATACTGGGAAACTGAACATAACCATGTCCCTACTCACTATAAATTTAGTTCAGTCAAGGATCTATTCTTTGTTTGCAATGCCACATGTATTGCAAAGTGACACGTACAGTGATAGTACTACGTTGATGATAATAATAATAATAATGATGGCCACTGCAGACATACACATGACCCTGAGGACCATTTTAAAAAAATGGTTAATTGTAGAAAGGGATGATTGAAGATTCAATCTCTGTCTTCTCTTGAATATTTTTTTTTTTTTTAGTGCCTTGAAATGTTGCAGTGTTTAGGATTACCTTGGGTTCAAGCAGCTGGTGAAGCGGAGGCAATGTGTGCTTACCTGAATGCAAATGGATATGTGGATGGCTGCATTACCAATGATGGAGATGTTTTCTTGTATGGAGCTCAAACAGTTTATAGAAATTTCACCATGAATGCAAAGGTACTGTGTTAGGTTTTTTGGAGTCTTTTTTCCTTCAGACTACTTCACTCTCATTATATTGCTCAAATAAATGTGAAGCACCATAAATATTTTGAACAATTAAGTAGGTATCTGTTAGGGCTTCTCCCTCACCCCTCCCTTGATTCTTGTCAGACAGACATAAAGCGGAAGACCAGAATCCAAAGAGGAGGCAATGTAGTGGTTATTGGGGTTAATTAAGCAAGTATATCCATAGCTCTGTACACTGCAGAGCTTTTCCCCATTCCTTTTTCCCACCTCCTCCTTCTTAATTATATCTGTAGTGCACACCACTGGTCCCACCCCTTAAAATTTATAGTCATGCTCCGTTTTGGAGGGTCATGAGTCTTGGGGCTTTGCTACCACCTCTTTTGTGCCTCATCGGAGGGGTAGGGAGCGAAATTTTGTTTCAGCTAGGGTCATGATTTCTTTCTCTTTTTAGTGTTTCTTATGCCACCCCTCCTTGGCCCTCCCAACTGGTCGCTTGACCTTACCTTGCGATAGGATTTGAGGTAGTTGTACATACTAAACTCCCACCAAAGCCAGCAACACTTTAACTCACTTCCTTATCTTTTTTCATTGTGCTATAAACCCCATCTGGTTGTGGGCAAATGCAACACAGTGTCTTTGTTCACACATGTTGGTAAAAATATCAAAAGTCAAACAGGCAAACAAAACCCAAAATTTTATTTCAGGCAAATATACAGGCCTAAATACTATATTAACGTCACTAACAGTATCATACTTTTGTCTTCCTGTATTTGGTCTTGTTTAAAATCTGTTTTCACACAGCAGACTTTCTTCGCTTGATTCATTAGTGTTCAAGCACTGAATGAATGAGAAAAACAGCTGAGTTGAATAACAAACATGAAATTATCTGCTGTCTGTTTAGGTTTTCTATTACATGAATTCTTATGTGACTTAAAGCTGTAAATTTTATACAGGACACAGCCCTGCAGTGACAGTTGTGTGCCTATAGGAGCAAGAGGTCTATGGGGTTAAATAAATGCAAATTCACTTATTTGCATTTTACATTAAATTAAAATGTGTAACACTTTCACACATGATAATGGCTGCTGCTCCTCAAATCAAGCACTGATGATGCCAATAAAACAGACCACCTGATTAAAATTATGGATACATTAGGAATGTAGTTTGATACCACCCTTGGAGAAGACAGAACAAATAACTTTGTTGTGCACTCTTCTATAGCATGCAGAGAGATGAATGCTAAGTCTAAGGCATCAAGCAAGTGCGGTAGCAAATGGAGTAAAGATGGGAGTTTTAAAGGTATCCTGGTGTGAGAAACTGTTTTTTAGCTAAAAAAAAGTGCTTGTATCTTTGTGAGAACTATGGAACAAAGAGAGGCAGAGCTGGGAGCACATAATTTAAAAAAATAAAATGGTGTAGGGCAATTTGCTTGTGTTCATTTGGCTATACATGTGTACAGAGTAAACTAGAGCCCAGTTTTCAAAGTGGGATGCCCTAAATTAGGTGTTCAAATCAGCATTAAAATGGGTATTTACTGTAGTTGTCTAAATATCTATCGAGGTGCCTAAAAAGTTTGAAAATTGGGTTATAATTTTTTATATTTTTTTAGTTCAGATACTTTGATAGAGGTCAATCCTGACTTCCTCCTGTTCATTCATCCTTTGCAGCTTCAGAGTGTTCTTTTGTAATTCTATAAGCCTAGGATGTTGGTTAAATTTCTAATCCTTGATTAATTATTTTACTTAAATACAGTTACATTTGTATGTAGATTTTGGAATCTGCAATTCTTAAAATCATGTGGTCAGTCTTCGATATAGCATGATATTTTTGTCAATCATACTTTGTGTAGCAATGACAAATGGCTTGGTCTCTTCTATGCTAGCCATTGAACAACAGTAGGCCAAATTGTTGTTAACCTGTGTCAGCAACAAGCCAATTTGCTAGTCACTTGTGGTCCTGCCTACACTATTCCCAGCTGTAATATTTTTCTTGTAGGACCCACATGTTGACTGCTATACAATGTCCTCTATTAAGGAGAAACTGTGTTGTGACAGAGAGTCTCTGATTGGGCTAGCAATTCTTCTCGGTTGTGATTATCTTCCGAAGGTGAGTAACCTGCAAACTAATTATTTACCATGTTCCTGTGACTTCTATTTTCAGAACATACAGTACCAATTAAGGTTTGAGCATGTATTAAAACGTATGAAATGCATGGTAGACTACAGACTTCTAGCTGAAAAAAGTACTTTAACTCATACTGTAAAGGCATTTTCATAATACTTTGTACTGAAGATTAATGTTGGCAACTCTGTGAGATAGGTAAGTATTATCATTTACAGATGTTTAGCTGGCATGCAACAAATATGTGGATGAGCTGGCATAGGAAAGTAGAAGCCTATTAAAACTTTGAGCTCCCACTCCCACAGTTAAGCCATTAGATTATGCTGTCTGTCCACATTGTGGCTGTAACTATGCTAGTAATAAGCATATTTGAAAATGGGGTAGTCTACAGTACGTTTATGGAAAGCACAGTTGCCAATGTGATTGCTGATAGACTTTTCTAGACACCGTGGATGTGACCAAAAAGCATGGCTACGTTTAGAAATTCAGGAGTTAACCACTTCTGCTGCAGGGCTTAAAGAAATGTCTAATGAATGCATTTGTCTGGTGTGACCAGACCAGCCTGATACTGCATATCCTGACATTTCATTGGAAACTGCTGCTTGAATGCATGCAGAGGAAGTTGAGAGGAAATAATAGTCTCAGTTTGTAAGTACTGCTGCTCTTGACTAGAAAAAGATGAGCTGAAATGGAAGCTGCCAGTAAGATTGATGTGCACTACTCTTTGCAAACTATGGCAATGAGCACCTCATTATGAAGCTGTTATGATGTTTAGTCTATCCAACTGCTTCTTCATTCCAAGTGAAGTGCAGTGATCCCAAATCCAGTTTACCAGACTAAAACCTCATTTGTGTCTGCCACTTCCACTCAACCAAGAATGGCTCTTGAGTTGTGCTAAACCCTAGTCTCTCAAATATGCAAGATTATCCTTTTGAGAGCTGAAGCTCATTGCAGATTTAGAATGTACTGAGTTACATGGCAGAGGCATATCATTCAAACAGGGAGGTGTAACATGTCCTACACTATCTGTTTAGTTTAATTTGCACATATTCACTAATCCCACTCTAACAAAGTCATTGGGAATTTTGCCATTGACATCTGAGGCTCAGGATTAATTCCAGAACAAAAACTCAAATAGAGAGATTCTCTCCCTCCCCTGTAATGTTCCTGCAATTTTTTTTTTTTTTTTTTAAAGGTAAGTGTTTCGGGTACTACTTTCTACTCTAGACCAAGCCTCAGGAATAACTTATAAAATTTCCAAAAGAAAATGACTTTTGTTTCAAGTTGATGGTGTCTGTAAATCAGGTGTTTAAAACCTTTTTTGAATCACCCCACCTGAGCTCCTTTTTTTAAAAAAAAGCTTGGAGCCCCTTCTCCCCAAAATAGCGAGAAGGTACTGCCACCTAGCACTCAGTGTTTAGATGGCATTGTTTGTTCAGATTAGGGGGGTCAAGCACCACAAGTTGCAACACCACTCACTCAAATTTGGTCCCGCCACCCCTCTGTCAAGACAGGCCATATTTGAGTGAGTGGCATTATGACCTCTGGTGCTTGGGTGTCTCACACGCTTTTACTTTACTTATTGCATTATCAGAAGACTTGTTTTACCCTCCCTAGAAACTTTGACATACCTCACACCCTGCCTGAGAACCTCTGCTTTGAATCATGGAGCATCAGTTGTCTGTGGGACCTCTTTGGTAGACAATTCTGACTTTTTTTTTTTAAATAATTTAATTGTCTCACAATGAATAACAAACAATTTTGCTATATGTACTGGTGTATAGTATGCAAAGACCAAGATTAAGTTATGGGAATCAAACGAAGAATTTGAGAATCAAGCAGTGGACATTTGTGTTTTTGGAAGGGACTATCCAGGAGAGGATTTCCTTTTCTTAATGAAGTGCTTTGTAGGCAAAAAGAAAACCAAAGAAAAAACAGAACCTCTGATTTAATAAATAGTACAATGGACTGGGAGCTTCTGAAATACTGGGTTCTTATGTGGTTCTGAAGTGAGTTGGCTATGTAATAGTCAAAAAGGCTCTTGAAGTATTGCAGCTCAGTAAAAGTGAATGAAGGCAGGACCTCCCAGAAAGAGTTATACTACTGACCCTTAGCTACTACTGCTGAAATCTTAACTTAGAAACCTGAGGGAATAGGTTTTCGGTGAAATATCAAAAAAGAGCTAAGCAGAAAACTGCACCATTCCAGAAAAGGTCTCACTTTTCTTTCTGCAGTCTCTCTCTGGCTGGCTTCTTATGACTGAACATCTTGAGTTGTCAGCCAAAAGGCTTTGCAGAAAAGCAATCACAACTCCTCTTTTTTCCTACACGTGTGCTTGCTCGCTCATACTCATATTACTTTGGTTATCTCTGCAAGAGATATTTCTAATATGCAAAGAAAAGAAATCTGAAAACAAATTATGTAACTGATCTGTGCTGTACACATCACATTTGTCAATAGAGAGAGAATTTGTATCCTCCTCTGAAAACACAGGTATCAGTCTTTTGAGGAACTTAGCCTGTGTTTTCAATGTATTGTAGGGTTCTTAACTTTATTTTCAGTGTCAGGAAACGTGAAAATATAAAATCATATTTGGGAAGAATTGCTCTGATTCTGGAGCTGAGAGTTAAATAGCAAAATTATGAAGGTTAGGGCTTATCAGGGCAAGATTAGCATTTAATGTTTTTCATAACAGGATTAAGGAAGTACATCTTTTAGCCTTGTAAAGGTGTCAGAAAACCTAATGAAAGGCTTGTGAACCAACTCTACTTGGCTCTGCTTGCGTTCCACCAGTTATTTGCTCTGACCTGATGTAGATGATAATTTTGATAGGATAAGGGAGGCACAGTCATCTACAATTTGAAAAAATCTCTGAGAAAAAGGTGGCAGAACCACAGAATGAAACAGAAGTCAGAAAAGAAGTAAACCTCCAGAGTGAAGACTAGAATGAAGGGCGTGAGGAAGGGAGTGAGTCCATATAGCAGCTTCTGTCTTTATTATTTTAAAACGTAAACCAAATAATTAGGTGAAGAAACATAATATTAAGGAGCCACATTCACAGTGGGGTCCAAATAGCCATGTGTACTATTTATATGCAACATGCCCCTTGCAGGGTTCTGATGGCTTTGAAAACATAGAAAGCAGTAAGGGCTTTTAAACGCCTCACAAACTATCTAAAGCAGGGGTGGGCAAACCTTTTGGCGCAAGGGCTGCAAAACTGTACGAAAGGCTGGGTATGGAAGGCTGTGCCTCCCCAAACAGCCTGTTCCCCCCCCACACTTCCTGCCCCCTGACTGCCCCCCTCAGAACTCCCAACCCATCCAACCCACCCTGCTTCTTGTCCCCTGACCACCCCCTCCTAGGACACCTGCCCCTGACTACCCCCCATCCCCCCGGACGCCCACTCCCTATCCAACCGCCCTCTGCTCCTTGTCCCCTGACTGCCCCCTCCCGGGACCCCCTGCCCCTAACTGCCCCCCAGAATCCCACACCCCAACCCCCTGACGGGCCCCACCGGGACTCCCAACCCTCCCTGTTCCCCATCCCCTGACCACGCCCCCCTCCCCGAACCTTCGCCTCATCCAACTGCTCCCTGACTGCTCCCCACCCCCTTACCATGCTGCTCGCAACCCCGCCGCCCAGCCGGAGCCAGCTGTGCTTCCCAACCTGCCTGGTAGGAGCAGCGGGCCAGAGCAGTGCCCGTGCAGCGGCCTGGCTACGGGGGAGGGGGAACAGCCAGGGAGGGGCCGGGGACTAGCAACACCACCCAATTCTTATGTACAACAGCTTTTTAGCTAAGTTGCTGTGATCAGAATTGATATTTACCAGTCTTCTTCTGAGGCAGCTGTTGTGGTGGTGGTATTTCTGAAGCATCATGAGAGTGTTTGGCATTTTATAGACAAAATGTACCTGAGAGACCGCAAATCATTAATATATGATAGATCAGGAAAGATGTATTGATATAAAGGTGTCAGAAAACCTGATGAAAGGCTTGTGAAGAGCCAGAGATTACATAGGCCAGAGATGCTGACCAGAGTACTTGAGAAGCAATCTGTACTTTAAAGACCGCCTGTGCCAGTACTGTATGACCAGACATGGGAAGAAAGAGCTAGATAGGACAAGCCTGATCTGGTAACCTCAACAGAGACAAAACTATACCTCTACTGAGAGCCAAGCACAACTAGATCCTTCAAGGCCAAACCTGAGATGCACTAATTAGATACCAGAGTCCTAATACAGATCAAAAATAAATTTAACCTGACTATCTCATTCATGTTGTCCTCAGCCATTGAAGAGGATTGTTTAGTTTCTCAGAGGAAGCTTCTAAACCTCAAGAAGTTGTAACTGGTTATCTTCTGGAGTGGTTTCCTGATAACTGTAATATTAAAAGGAAATAAGAGGTGGTTCATTCTACTTTGACTATAACCATTTATTTCCATATTCGTAGTTAGTTACTCTGAAATGATACATTCCTTAGAAGTAGTTGGAGATTGACATGCTGTAATTAGATGCCTAAGCAGCTGGCCACAGTCCAGTGACAAACTTTTAATTGATTTTTAAATGTGTATTCAAGCTATACAGTTATGTATCCAGTTTATTCAGCTGCAACTCTACAGCTCCCCAGTCCTCTTGAATTATCAATTTATTCATTATGCTAATGATATAACCTATGTTTGTGCTGCAAATTCAAGCCATGTAATTTAGCAGTACTCTGTAAACTGTAAGCTCCTTGGAGTAAGGACTTTGTAAAAAGTCATGCACGCCAGTGGTTCCACAGGAACAATGGATTATAAAAAATCAAAATTAAAGTAGCAATCATTGTTTCATTTACTTTGTCAGTAAATGCCTCCATAGTAGAGCTCTCGGGACTACTGTTTGCTCATATATGGCATGAACAATTTGAGTTACCATTTTTGTAAATTGTCTTTATTTTGTTTAAAGCCTTAATTAACATGCATTAAGCTTATTTGAAGTGATCAGTTGCTCTTACCTATACAAAAATATTTGATAGGACACACTTCTGTCATACAAACATAAGGCCCTTAAGTTTATGTCAGTGTAGTACCAACTAGCTACTTAATTTAATAAGATCTATACATTTTATTGCCACACACAATTTTTCAGTAACTACTTTTACTCAATACGTGGGCAGTCATTATCAAATTAGGAATTGGGGGAAGGGGATGGAGGGAGCGATAGTAGAGTTAAACTATTAAAACAAAACTGTCTGGTTAGTAGATCATCATCCCATGTGATAGAGATTGGATGTTTTGGTCTAAAGTCGTTGGGATTAATATAGCTGAAAATGTAATGGCCTGTGGTATACAGGAGGTCAGACTAGATAATCCCTTCTGTCTTTAAACTCTCTCAAACTCAAGTTTGTCAGGAGTTCAGGAATTCAGTTCTCCATTAACACAAGCTGATTCTCATTCTGTTGCCTTGGATTTCCCAATATCCAAACATTTTGCACTCTGGCCTTACTCTTCGAAGATTCCAAACATTTTTTTACCAAACTATTTTTTTTTCTTATAGGCCCCTCGCTTTAATTTTTTGAGTTGTCTTCTCATCTAAGTCTCCAATACAACAAAGCACTTAAGTGTGTTTTTAAAGTGCTTGGGTGAATCAGGACGTAAATCTCTGCTATAGCATGATTTCAAAACAACTCTGTTTTGGCCATTTGACTGTTTAAGGGCCACATCATGCCATTGGTTTCAGTGCTTAAAAAAATAATGTGGAATTCTGCTTGTAAATCAATGTCATAATGTCTCTAAGCCCTGGTCTACGCTACACAGTTAGTTAGGTCAACATAAGGTAGCTTACATCGACATAACTATGTTATTGTACACACTACAGCCTTGCTCCCACTCATGTAAGTGCCCTACTACACCGACATAATAACTCCACCTCCCTGAGAGACGTAGGGCTTATGTCAGTGTAGTTAGGGTGACGGTGTCCATGTAGACACTGGTTTACTTACATTGGCTGTTGGCTGTCATTCTTGTCAATTTCATAGCTCCCTGCTGGAGCTATGAAATTGACAAGAAAGTCTTCCCCACTCCCAGCTGGGCTGCTGCCGGCTGCCTGGGCTCCCCACTCAGAGCCCAGGTGGCTGCCCCATTCCTGATGGAGAAGCAGGAGCTCTGGCAGGTACCTGGAAGCCCACGGTGCAGCTGGGCTCCCGACAAGGAGCAGAGTTGAGAGCCCGGGCTGTCAGCTCCCTCCATTGCCTCTCTGCTAGCCTGTCTTCCACCCCTTCCATAATATTGTGAATACATTATGGTGTGTACTGTCTCTCTGAAATCCAAACCCATGCCTTTATCTCTTTTTATCAAGACAATAGAAGCTCCCTTCTCCGTGGAACTCCTCAAAGTCCCAGCTTCTCAGACCTCTGCTGATGAGAATGTTATTCCACTACTGAGACATGTAAACAAATGTGACCTTCTCTTTTGATTGTCTTTCCAGTCACATCAAGACACACAGTTGAAAATTACCCTCCTGGTTTACACAACCCTTCTTGAAATTGCTCCTGTCTGTCACTATGTTTTTTCTCTACTTTACTTTCCTGTCATCTAATACTGGTACCATCTCTCTCTTCTTCTGTTAGTGCAAGACCCTCTTCTGCAGCTCCTGTCATTTAAAACTACCTTCCTGTTTGTGTCTGTCTTATTCGTCATTTCAAATCTTAGTCAAAACCAATTTTTGTACCCCCACCCATACCTCTGAATTTCTTTCCTTTTTTCTTTTTTAATGCATGGATTCTGTAAAGCGTTTGGGATGCAGTTTGTGTGAAAGACTACAAAATTGTGTTAGATTACACCTAACAGATATCAATGTTTTACATTAGTTTAAACTTTAATATGTGCCATGTTTCCCTCTCTCTCTCTAAAAGGGAGTGCCAGGAGTTGGAAAAGAACAGGCTTTAAAGTTAATTGAGACTTTGCGAGGTCAAAGTTTACTCCAGAGGTAAAGTTAAAGTTTGTCTTGTCTCCTAAAATATTTCGGGGTTTTAAATTATCTTATTGAAAGGCAGTATTATGATGCAGTTTGAACCTGAGTCTACACTACTCATGTTTTAATTTTTAAGGAAACAAAATATTAAATTACTTACATGATGATCAGCTGTGTATTCAAACAATACATTCTGCCAGGCAAACTATCTTTTTAAAGTTAATTATTGCTTAAAATTGCATAAACTCCTAGTCCCTATTCTTGCAAACAACAACACACGTATACATGTTTGCAGGATCAGAGCAGGTAGATCCTGATCCCAAGACCACAAAAGTAATTTGGAAAGACTCTCGTTGACTTTAATGGGCTTTAGATCCTAATGTTGTCTGGTATGACTTGCCCTGTTGCCCTAATGAGTCTTAAAGCTAGACATCCCAATAATCCATAGTACATACTCAAAAGTACATTTACTGCAAACAAATTGTGTAATGGAAAACTGGATAGTTTTAAGAGGATGAATTAGATGGTATGATTTTTTTCCCTCATATTTAACTTAAGTGGTAGAATTTGCATGAATAAGCTATGGGATTGCATTACATTAACATTTCTAATATAATTTTAGGTTTGATCAATGGAAAGGACAGCTTCAATGTGGTAATGCGTCTGCTCTAACAGTTAACAAGATGACTCATTATTCTGTGTGCCATCATCCAGGTCAGTATGAAAAGGGGTAGATTTTTGTTTTAATTTGAGATACATTTTATTTGCTCCCCCAACCAGCGCCCCTGGGTAATGATGCTGCCCTGCATTCTGGAGCCTTATAAGTATAATACCTTTTTAAAAAGGATAATGCCCTTTAAAATATTTTAAATCACTTGCATTAAAAATTGCTTTTTATGTAGGTCTCAACTTCTGGATTATGTTTCTTTAAAAAGTATAAAAGGTCTCTCTTGCGGATTGGTGATGGAGTAAGAACTTTTTTATTTTTTTTAACCGGCAGGCCACTGGTACAAACCTAGGCCCTGTTGTGTGCAGAAGTTGTTAACAGTGAATTGCTGTTAGGCGGTGTAGGTCTAGTTTGGGCAGGTGTATCCATCACAAACTGCCATCATAGTTGGTACCTTTTTGGCAGTGTCAAGAAAGAGGGCAAAGACTGAACTGACATTGAGGCTGAACGACTCAGTCATTCATGCTGGCAGGCCCTCCATTGGCAGGATTGAGATATATTAGCAGAGAAGATTTGCATTGCTATTCCTCTCACTGTCTGGATTTTATTTTTAAAGTGGCATTCAGTCTCAAGGACTCTGTTCAAACCCAATGCTGCTTACAGCAAGAATATTTTTTTTTTTGGAGGGGATAGAGAGAGAGAGTCTTTCATTCCACAGTTTTGTCACTATCTCACGTATGCATGATGTTTGTGGGCCTTTAGAGAGAGAATTTTCCAGAATAACATTCTGCAACATTTGAACTAACAAGAAAAATCTGATTTTTATTGTAACTATTACTTGGTATTGCTAGTGTGCTTAGCTCTGTATACAGCAGCTTTTGGTGATATACCCATGTATATGGGTATATGACAGGTTTTAGGGTAGCAGCCGTGTTCGTCTGTATCCGCAAAAAGAAAAGGAGTACTTGTGGCACCTTAGAGACTAACCAATTTATTTGAGCATAAGCTTTCGTGAGCTACAGCTCACTTCATCGGATGCATTCAGTGGAAAATACAGTGGGGAGATTTATATACACAGAGAACGTGAAACAATGAGTGTTACCATACACACTGTAACCAGAGTGATCAGGTAAGGTGAGCTACTACCAGCAGGAGAGCGGCGGCGGGGGAAACCTTTTGCAGTGATAATCAAGGTGGGCCATTTCCTAAAGAAACTACACCATTTGCTCAAGGAACTCCCTGAAAAAGCACAAAAACAAATCCGCACAGACACACCCCTGGATCCCCGACCAGGGGTATTCTAACTGCTACCCAAGATCCATAAACCTGGAAATCCTGGACGCCCCATCATCTCAGGCATTGGCACCCTGACAGCAGGATTGTCTGGCTATGTAGACTCCCTCCTCAGGCCCTACGCTACCAGCACTCCCAGCTATCTTCGAGACACCACTGACTTCCTAAGGAAACTACAGTCCATCGGTGATCTTCCTGAAAACACCATCCTAGCCACTCTGGATGTAGAAGCCCTCTACACCAACATTCCACACAAAGATGGACTACAAGCCATCAGGAACAGTATCCCCGATAATGTCATGGCAAACCTGGTGGCTGAACTTTATGACTTTGTCCTCACCCATAACTATTTCACATTTGGGGACAATGTATACCTTCAAGTCAGCGGCACTGCTATGGGTACCCGCATGGCCCCACAGTATGCCAACATTTTTATGGCTGACTTAGAACAACGCTTCCTCAGCTCTCGTCCCCTAATGCCCCTACTCTACTTGCGCTATATTGATGACCTCTTCATCATCTGGACCCATGGAAAAGAAGCCCTTGAGGAATTCCACCCTGATTTCAACAATTTCCATCCCACCATCAACCTCAGCCTGGACCAGTCCGCACAAGAGATCCACTTCCTGGACACTACGGTGCTAATAAGCGATGGTCACATAAACACCACCCTATACCGGAAAGCTACTGACCGCTATTCCTACCTACATGCCTCCAACTTTCATCCAGACCACACCACACAATCCACTGTCTACAGCCAAGCTCTACGATACAACGGCATTTGCTCCAACCCCTCAGAGATCTTGTAGGTGTTTGTCTCTGTCTATCAAGTGTTCTTACAACTACAATACCCACCTGCTGAAGTGAAGAAACAGATTGACAGAACCAGAAGAGTACCCAGAAGTTACCTACTACAGGACAGGCCCAACAAAGAAAATAACAGAATGCCACTAGCCATCACCTTCAGCTCCCAACTAAAACCTCTCCAACGCATCATCAAGGATCTACAACCTATCCTGAAGGATGACCCATCACTCTCACAGATCTTGGGAGACAGACCAGTCCTTGCTTACAGACAGCCCCCCAAATACTCACCAGCAACCACACACCACACAACAGAACCACTAACCCAGGAACCTATCCTTGCAACAAAGCCTGTTGCCAACTGTGTCCACATATCTATTCAGGAGACACCATCATAGGGCCTAATCACATCAGCCACACTATCAGAGGCTCGTTCACCTGCACATCTACCAATGTGATATATGCCATCATGTGCCAGCAATGCCCCTCTGCCATGTACATTGGCCAGACTGGACAGTCTCTACGTAAAAGAATAAATGATAAATGGACACAAATCAGATGTCAAGAATTATAACATTCAAAAACCAGTCGGAGAACCCTTCAGTCTCTTTGGTCACTCAATTACAGACCTAAAAGTGGCAATACTTCAACAAAAAAAACTTCAAAAACAGACTCCAATGAGAGACTGCTGAATTGGAATTAATTTGAAAACTGGATACAATTAACTTAGGCTTGAATAAAGACTGGGAGTGGATGTGTCACATTACACAAAGTAAAACTATTTCCCCATGTTTGTTCCTGCCCCCCCCCCCCCCCCCCGTTCCTCAGACATTCTTGTCAACTGCTGGAAATGGCCCACCTTGATTATCACTACAAAAGCCTCCCCCCCGCCACCCCACACCTTACCTGATCGCTCTCGTTACAGTGTGTATGGTAACACCCATTGTTTCATGTTCTCTGTGTAAATAAATCTCCCCACTGTATTTTCCACTGAATGCATCCGATGAAGTGATCTGTAGCTCGCAAAAGCTTATGCTCAAATAAATTTGTTAGTTTCTAAGGTGCCACAAGTAATCCTTTTCTTTCAACTTTATGAAACACTAGTGTAGTTTGAGAAACATGGTTCATCTCGTTCTCTTTCTTCCTTTTTCTGTAGGCTCTTGTAAGGACCATAAGCTCAGTGGATGTAAACTGTGTGGAAGTATTAAGTACTGTGAACCCCATGACTACCCATACTGCTGCCCTTGTGAGTGGCATTGTTCAGAGCGAGCGAAACAGACAAATGCAGTGGAGGACAATATCAGAAAGTAGGAATGTCTTCAAAATGAACTGCTCCTCATTGCTTTCAGGTGCAGGTTGAGCATGCAAGTCCTGCATCACACACATTTCTATCCTATTCCTAATGTGTATGTTTTACTTGCAGAAAAGCTAGAGGTTGTGAGGGCTTTCCATTTTCTGAGGTAACTAAAAAGCCTGCTAAAGGTTCATTTTGAATTAGTGAATTGGATTTTCAGCTAACTTTCTTCTAAGTGTCCTCTTTTCGCTTTATTTCAAGGTTATTGAAGAATTTCTTGTAAACAAAAACAAGCTGGTCAGGATAATGGAGTGCCAGAGGCCAAATTTATTGTCCTTTCAGGTACAGAATGATACATAGAGAATCCAGCTCTTTGACATGTTATATTTGTTAGTATGCAATGCACTTGAGAATATTAATGTTAATTAGTAACTTTTATTAGTGGGAAGAATGAAAGAACCTTGCTACAACCTTAATATACATATTTGTTTGGAAATCTGAAATTAAGGCCTTAGAATAGCTGTAGAAGGGGACAATGTAGTGAGAGAAACAGGAAAACAGGGTCACTCACAACTACTGCAGCTTTAGCTAGATATGAAGTTCCTTTTCACATCCTGTCCTGAATAGTTGAGTTATGGCAGCTGGTCCTCACTTACCAGTTCTGAATTGCCACCTACCAAATTTGAAGGCTTTTCGGTGACAGTCCATCATCCCAAAAATTCAAAGATCTGCCCTGGCATGCTCCCCTGAGGTTATGTGAGTGGATGTAGATTTTATCAGCCTACAGTGTGCGTGAGAGATCAATGTATCATTAACACTGTTTTCCAGTACAATGGGTGAGATCCTCATCTGGTGTAAAACAGCACAGCACAACTGACTTCAGTGTAACTAGTATGACTTACAGTAGTTACAGATCTGGACCATTAATAGCTCCATAGGAGTGAGCAGAATGTAGCTTTCTGCCTAGTGGGAAAGGAGAAGGATGATCTATTAAACAAGAAAATAATGGGGGGCCAGGAAATACCTAAAAATAACAACCCTACAGAGAGAAGGAAAGCATGCAAGGGAGAGAGCGGGCAGAGAACACATGAAAGAAACTGGACAGAATAAAAGAGAATTTGGTGGCAACTGTCATGGGTTGGTAAAAAGGACACATTGTAATGTCCATTTGCTAATCTGTAGCAAAGAGAGCTGCATCATATATTATTTAAAAAAAAAAAAAAAGTGAACCGCTGGTCTCTTCTTTCAAGAAATCTGTTTCGATATTGATGTTATATTGTTCTTCTAAGCATTAGTGCTATAAATGATGCCTTCATTGTGCTGTTGAACTAGGCTGACTACCAGTAGCCTACCAGTGAGAACTCTGCATTTATACATTTAATCAAACTCTAAGATGTGTTTTAGTTGTACTCTTATCAATACAAAAGGACACATGATTGAAATGTATACATGAAATTATATTTAATCAACACAGTTGAAGAGGTCACCTTACAGTAGAACAGCTTTGTCTATAAGTCTGTAGATAAAATTTGAGACTGATATTTACAATGCAAAGATTGGTGATGCCATTTAGTGCTAATCACAGAAATACGCCAGCCCTTTATGCCTTGAGTGAGTGATTATGTTCTTGTGCCCAGAAAAGAATTCTCCCAGGTTTATTGTGCGGGGTGATTTCAGTGTCCATTGGGACAATGACTCTTCTAGATTGACTTACAGACTACCCAGCAACATAAATGTGCAATCTTATCAAGTGGATTCTTGTGGCATAAAAGAGAACTATCCATCTGAATTTTGTTTTGGGGCTGATGTACAGAAGTTGGAAACTATACCCTTCTTGGTTAGGTCATCTCCAAGGCTAATGTTAAGGCTCACCTTTCCTGGCAGGGCAGAAGATCTGTTTCGATGTTCCACCTTCTCAGACTACTGGCACAGTTTACAAGAACGATGTATAGACAATGGACCATTAATGAGTACTCTAGTGGAATGTGATAAAAATCTGTGGGGGTGCATGCATGGGAGAGATACGTTATCAGAATCTGATGAGAAAATTTTTAGCTTTCAATGTGGCCTTCCCATTCCTCCTGCTGCTACTATACAACTGCTCCCTTAACTCTCAGATGAGCAGGCTGCTATATCTATCCTCTTATGGATGTCCATTATTCTGCCATCTTGCACTGAGAGGTCATTAGTGTCTTACCATAAGGTGGGTATTGAACCGATGTATAAAACATAATAGATATTTAAAGTGTCCATTGAAATAACTGTTAAGGACACTGTAACAACAAAGTAAGAAGGTATTAAGGTTGTGTTTCTTAACAGAGATTTGCTTTTGAGAAGATGGAATGGACCAAACACTATGCATGCAAGAAACTGTTGTCACTGTTGACACGCTATGACATGATCAAAAGAAAGTCTGGTCAGACAGATACAGAGCAACTGCAGGCAATACGGTAACATAATTTGTGAAGTTTTTGAATTCACTCCATATTTCTGTTCACTTTTGTTGCTGGAGAAAATCTTATTACTTATGAAGTAAAATTTACTTCCCCCTTTTACCTCATCCTTGAGTTATGTGCTGCCTTTTGAAAATGGTAAAAGCTTAAAGCAGTGTCACATTTCTGTCATTGCTGCTACACAAAAGTAAAGTGTAAAGTAAAATGTGTACAAAAGTTTCTTTAATGCTAGTTTATAGATCATGATTCTTCACTTTTAGCCATAGTCTCCTCAACTTCAATGGGACTATATATGAGATACCACACTATGGGCATGAGTCTTTGCTCATTGAAGTCCATGCACAATCAGGCCTGTGGTCTATAAATCTTAGTGGGTAACAGTTTGCAGCTGGGGAGCTGAAGTTCTTGTCATACCTACTGGCTTTTCTCTTGTTATGGCTAATAGTGAATGGTCTTGCTGTTGAATTTTACTATACTTTCTTGTCAAGAACGAATATCATTATTGTCTAACTCTGTTAAACTTTCAGTTCAGTATTACCATCAAATTCTAGTCCCAATTCAGCAAAAAAGGGGATGCAGAGAGGCTGTGCACTGCTTAGATGATATACCCACACACATTGCCAGTATGTACCTGTGACAATCTCATCACCAATCTTGCACCCTCATGGATACCCAAAGACATCTGATTACCCTTCTCCTTTCCTGCATGGGTGCAAAGCCACCACTGAGCAGAGTTATGCCACTACATAGCATAGTAATTTCCCTTTCTGCTTCTGTGTAGCACATCCAGTTTCCATATATGCAGGATTAGTGCCTAAAACCTGGTTCACCACACATTTACCCATTTTTACTTTATTGTGAGTAGTTCCATTGATTTCAGTGGGACTGCTCACAGATGTGAAATAGCACAAGCGGTAAGGTGAGTTTTTGCAGGATCAGTGGTGGTTATTCAGAATTCTGTCCCAAAGAAATATTGGAAGCAGGGACTGAGTGGTTTGTAGGAGTGTTAGTAGGACGTGGAACTTTTTAACCTCTAAGTTGCTGGTTCAAATCAACTTAATTTTGCTATTGGCAGTGATCATCTGATGGCTGCTCACTTGCAACTGTCAGTGTAACAAAAAAGCATCCGCAGCGTATGTACACACACACACACACACACACACACCCCTAAATAAACTGCACAATGCAGATAAAATGAATATTGCCCCCCAAGCAATATCTCTCTGGCTCAAAACTCTCCAGTCTGAGCAAAGAGACACAAGAAGTGAATGAACTGAGTCACAACTACTGTGTCAGATCGTCCACATGCTAGGGTTGATGGCGATAGGGCAGTATGAGGAAGTTTTTCAGTATCACTGCCTTTGTATCTCTTTTGAGAAGGGGACTTCGCTCTCCAGTGATGCTCATCTGGTACCTGTTTATGACCTCTACGTTCACTAATGGTCTGTTTAAATGTTCAAAGTCAAGAACTGAAGTTTATTATTTACCCGCACCAAAGAAAAAATTACAATCTTAAAAGAAAATCTTTCTGATTTTTAGAATCTGTACTAAATCTACTGATAGAGGAATAGGATTTTTTTCCCTCTGATTAATTTGCATGGATTATAAAATTAAAATTTTGCAATAGGTTTGTGATTTTTCATATTTCTTGCTTTAGCAAAATCACTTAGTGAAGTTGGTACCATGTCTGCTTTTGTTTCACAGGATAGTCAAGACACGTGTTAAAAATGGAATTCCTTGTTTTGAAATTGAATGGCAAAAACCAGGTTGGTGCTGTCTTGTAAACGCATGGGTTATTCTGTAATGTAACTAAAAACAGTGGACAAAAATCCCCTTTAAAGGAAGTGGGCAGCCAGCAATGTGCACAAGTGACCTGTAGTACAGATTGGACAACTGTTCTATGAACGTATGCAGAAAACACACACTTTTAAAATCAAACAGATTGACAGTGCAAACAATGAACCCTTGGTGGGGGAGGAGTTATCTGTGGCAGTCTTTAGGCATGTCAGAGCAGCACTTGGTGCACAGTTGGAGGAGAGCAAAGATGCCCCTTACACTGGCTTGGGGATCACGACAGCACATTGGACTCCAGTTTTATTTCTTCTTGGCCCCAGCATATCCCCTGTATTATGGTGGCACTACTTCAAATGAAAAAATCCCCCAGGATAGGAGAATCTCAACTGCCCGCATCAGACTGGTGCAAAGGGGCCTTAGCATGACCATGGTCTGGCCTGTAATCTTCTGCTACTGACATTTATATTGAAAATTGCAGGTAAGGACAAGGAAACTGCATTGTTCTTGCTTTGGTCCTTTCCCTTTCTCCATGCCCTCAGCCCTAATGTGCCTTTGTTAATTTTCTAGAGCATTATGTTACAGCAGATGATCAGCCCACAGAGTCCTTTGTGGTTACAGTAGAGGAAGAATCTTTGTTTCAGTCTGCCTATCCTGACATAGTTGGCATCTATAAAGTGGAAAAGTTGGAAGTTTTGGAAAAAAAACAGAGAAGTAAGTTTGAAAGCTGACCAGTGCTTAGCACTCTGTGAGTACTGCCATAACACAAATAATAAAGATATTTTCAGGACTGCATCAGCTCTTCCATAGCTGTTTATACATCATATTCAGTGGAAGATTATGGCCCTAGCAAGATCCCATCTTCTTCTCTCACCCTGCTCTTTTTCATCTGCTAGCATTATAAATTCTGAACAGCTGAGGTTAATTTTTGTTTTTTACTTTGACAGCAAAGAAACACCTATTGTTTATATATAGTCTTTTTGTCTTTTCAGGTAAGAAAAATAAAGAAAAAGAACACTCAAATATCGATGGTAAAGTTACTGATCTTCTGTCTCTGATGAATTTGCAATCTACACGTGAAAGCTTTCCTGAGCAGAATTGCAAGTCAGATTTAAAAACTTTTCCTGATAATCAAATGCAGCAGAAAATTGTCTCCAAATCTAATGATTCCCTTTTAGCTGCAGATTTCTCCACTGTAATTGCGCAGTTACAAAACCCAGTATCTACCCTTCCTCTAACTGCTTCACCCAACACTCAATATCAGAGAGTTTTAGATGACTCTCTTACTTCAGCAGCACAGTTTACTCAACTCCCTGAGGCATCATCCTCTTATGTTTCCTGTATAATAGCTGATCTACAATTGAGTGGCATTGATTGGGAAGGAACCTCCTTCAGCATTTCACCAGCACATGCTGATTCTGCCTGTTGTTCAGTGTCTGAGCTTGGTGCATCTAATAATTGTATAAGCCAACCATGTACACTTCAGCACAAAACAAGAGAAAACACAAAATATTCTGGTGCTACACAATCTGATGATCCTTGCAGCAGAGCAGAGTATTTGGTTCCTACCCCTACTGATCTGGTAGGACAGCTTCAGAAGTTGCCTTTAAGAGAACGAATATTTCTGAAGACGTCTGTGCAGAAGGATACTTCACTGTCTCTAAACATAGTGCAACCAAAACCTTTACAGTTGTTGAAACAAATGAAAGAAACATCAATTCCTGAGACTGTTTCCACTTATCCTTCAATTCAATTAAGTGACTCCACAAAGAAAATCAAAATGTTATCAGAAAAATATTTGAGGGTCTCTAGTATACAAAATTACCAGGAACAGTACAAAAAACCTGGGAACCTGCTACAAATGGAGCAAAAACACCCCAAACAAAACTGTTCAAAGTCTGTGGGTTTGAGCAGTCAAGCAGCAGAGCCTTTGCACTCCAAAGGTGAATCACTGAAGTTAGCAAAGGCCACAGATAACTGTCACATTAGAAAATTCTCTGCTCAAGCTACTTGGAAAACTTCCATTAAAAAGAGTGTTTGCCATGAGAGACCTTCTTCTAGTGAGGACAGTGATGATGGGAATATGATGGATAAAAATCAGACTTATAGAATTAAACAGCAGAGGCAACCGAATCCAGCTCAGATGAAGGAAAACACCACTAAAGAGAGGGGTAACGGAGGATCAAGTCTTCCAACTAAACGGAGAGAGAAAGCGGCAAATTTAAAAATAACTAGCAATAATTTGTCAATGGAAGTACCTCCAAAACCTGCCTCGGTAGTGGAAGCTAACAGTATTGGGCTTGGGGAACTATCATTTAAAAGATTAGATTCCTGTTCTTCTCTGCAACAAAGCAAAAATGACGACTGTGATGTATGGGTAGGTAGTCCCCTGCCTCTGTCTGAAAGGCTTAAACTAAGACTCAAAAGCAATTAGTACTTCATAAAAAATACATTATGCTAAACAGTTAACTTGGTGTCTAAAACTCCTACATAGTTCCTTTCCTCATATTTATAGCATTGGTATATGCAAGCTCAAGAGACACTGTGTTGCTAAGTTGACATAGTCCTAATTAATAAAAAGCATTGTGAAGTCCTGCTTACTTGGTACTGAAGTTTGAAATGTAAACATTGTCAAAATTATGCAGTCCCTGGAGTACAGCTGAAATGCACTGATATCCATTTACGACTGTATAGTGCTTTCTTGCCATAAGCACCATAGCCATGGACACAATATACAACACTGATATTTTATTCCAAAGGGGGTAAGGTTTATTTAATGAAGCATTAGCCTTTCGGCTTGTAAAGATAGACTCATAATATAGTTACAGTGTGCTATGCTGCTACCAGGTGTCCTCAGCAAGACAAACTGATACAGCTTTTGTGTAACTGAAATTCCCCATTGTACTCCACTCTCTTGATCGGGTGTTAACTTTAAAACAGGCTTACAAATACTTGGTTACCAGTGGTGTTGAGCATTTTTAAAATAAATGACCAGATAAATTCAGCAGTTGAGCTTGTCCAGCATGGCCGAATTTATTTGTCTGACATGTCCTGTAATAAACTGCTAGAACACATGCATGTTCCAGAAAAGGATTAATAACCACTTGAATCAGTGCCAGCTGAGTGGACTCAAAGTGAGTATTTTAGGTGCTTTCTATTTCTGTAATTGCTATCTCTAAACTTTTATTTAAGTGTAATTGAATTAAATTAATGTTTGTAGCTGGTGGCATTTTTTTGCTACAGAACAAGAAGCATGAAATCTCTGCAAGATTTGACTTGCCTTTAGGTAATAGCAAAGAAGAGGTTAAATTATAGGAAACCTAAAATTAAATTTGTTATTGCAACTTCATTTACAAGCATGACATATTTTAAATCATTGTAAAAGGAGCCTTGAAATTAGACTTAAAACAAAAAAGCAACACAATAGTTCTCATCCATTAATACAGAGATACAGCTCAATGGGACTACATATCCCAAAATACAATACAAATTCCCACAGATCACCAGTGAATTCCCCATTGGCTGTAGGTCAGGGATTCTCAAACTGGGTGTTATGACCCCTCAAACTGGAGGTTGTGACCCCTTAGGGGGTCATGAGGTGGTTACGTGGGGGTCACGAGCTATCAGCCCATGTAGGGGTTTGGCAATGGGCAGGACTGACAGGCCTGAGCCCCTGTTAAATTAATTTAATAGTAAATTAACACACACTCCTATTTTTAATTTGGGGGGGTCACATTCAGAGGATTGCTGTGTGAAGGGGGTCACAATACAAAATGTTTGAGAACTGCTGCGGTAGGTGAAGTTATGCATGACTTCATCATAGCTAGCAGTCAATGAAGAAGACTTTTTGATCAAGAAGGAATAATGTCAGGTTTAGAGAATTTGTAGAAATTAGAAGAAAAACCTCTGATCTCAACTAATCAATCCCCTTCCCTCTTGCAGGACAGTTCCCTTCAATATATTTCCCAGGAAAGGGGAGAAATGGCTCCTTTACAGTAATTTTCCATGAGTTCCTCTTCTCCAAAATGAGGGAAATAGTATTTCCTTACCTCACAGGGGTTTGTGAAGGTAAAAATATTTAAGTAGTGTGAGATGTTTAGATACTACAGTAATGGAGGTGATAAGTACATAAAATAGAATGGAAAAGAGAGACATTTAAACAGAAAACAAGATCGGTAACTTTTTAGGAGGGTCAAGCCTTTGTCCAGCCAGGTGGCAAGAGAGAGTGATTAAAACTACTTCTGAAAATAATAGCATTTATTCTAGCTACATAAAGGAAGGAAGCAAAAGAATCATTAGTATACATATGAAAAGGTGATCATGAAATGCAGTTACTAGAAAATGTGAGTAGGGATCAGTGGTTGACTAGGTCAGGACTACTACATTTTGAGAGACCAATGCTATAAGTAACTTACAGAATTGTCTGTGTAGTTGTCTGTCGTCTTTTTACTTGGTCATGATTTTATCTTTTGAAGGTATTGTTTTTAAAATTGCCCATTGATTTTGGAGACTGAATGAATGTTGGAAGAAGAACTGAACTTTCTTTACCTAGAAAAACAAGAAAGATGCAGCTCCTACTCTTTTGCTTTGATGGAATAAGATTTGGAATTATTAAGCATTTAAAATGAGTGTCCTCTCCATTTTGTGACCATTTTCCTATTTTTCCCTCTTGGAATATGGGGCCTGATGATTATTAGACATTAGAGGTGTTCTCAGAGGATGTTCCACTACAGTCATTAATTTTGCTTGGCCTTTGTAACTGCATAGATGGATGATACCTTGTAAGTATTTTGTCAGGATTCAGATTTGAACCCACTCTTCCTTGGCTGATTGAGGTCAGATATGTAAAGTATATCTATTAAAGATTCCAGCACTGCTGGGAATCAGTGTATTCTTGGAATCCCTGTAAGAGCCACATTCAGTCCTACAGCTCAGGTCCAGGCATGTGAAACAGACAGGAAATATATAATTTCTAATGCCTGATTCATCTCTACTTTTCACAAGCTTTGCACCTGTGTAACTCCATTATCAGGAGCAACTTTGGTGAAGATATACACCAATGTGAGAGGAAAATAATCCTAAGACAGTTCAGCTCACCCTTGCAATGAGTTGGCACAGACCATATAGCCTTGTGCTGGTGAATCTGTTAAGTAAAGCTTGGGATATCTTTCCAACGAAGAAACTCACCTATGTTAGAAATGTTACTTTTCTGTTTTGTCATCTTGCATTAAATATGTTGAATCTAATTAGGAGACTGTTAGGCCAGTGAACCTTTTGTCCTATACTGAATAATGATTGTGGTAGTACTAGACTTCTAAATAGACATCTGGACATAGAAAATGTTCTTACATATTATTGTATCTAATTGTACCATTTGTACTGAAGACCAAGATATGTGTTTACCTTTATTATGCTTATTATATCTGAATTTTTTTCAAAATGTTCTTTACCTACAAAATGTTGTGGATAAAAGTAATTAAGTGTTTGAAAATGTAATTAATTATGTATTGCAAAATATAATTTGTACCAAAACAATCTCTTCATGATTTTAACTTAATGTGGCTCTTTTTTCTATTAAAGTATTAGGTTTTTGATTAATTTCTGTGGAAAATGTAAGTGTTAAACTAGCGAAGAGAAGTTTACACTCTTTACTGTACTTGCAAGAGGGGGAAAAATCAGAGGATGATACAGTTTAAACAGCTGTATTTAATAGTTCATGTTACAAAATTGTTCTCATGTTTGCACTCGCTTGCTGTCTGGCCCAGTGACTCTCTTTAGTTATTTATCCACAGTGGCACTGCTTCAACGGGAAAGACTGAGGGAGCCCCACATCAGAATACCTCTTAGCTAGTTTTGGCAGAATCTGATTTTATTATTTATTTATTTATTTATTTTGCAAATTTGACAGATAATATTGATGTTTCTTTTTAACCTTTTTCTCTGATTTGTATCCATTTTAAATTTTCAGTTTGAGTGAGGCTGCAGGGGGCTCCCTCCACGGCTGCACAGTTGGGATATTGAATCCCTGCAGATGCAACGTACGGGGAAGGCTACACTTGCCAGCTGCTATCAGTGGATGATTTTTTTTCTTTGATTTATTTGTGTCAAGTGAAATCTATGTCTCCCAAGGAGTAATGACTTAATTCAAATCCTTCCAAGTCTATCCATAGCCCAATGGCCAGAGCACTGACCTGCAAGATGACAGATCCCTCTTCAAATCCTTTCTCATCATCTGGGGGTCTCCCACAGCCCAGGTAAGTACCTTAACCACTGGGCTAAAAGTTATGAGGGAGGTCTTCCTCCTCTTCTCCCTCAGCCTGTTTTGTGTGAACTCACACAATATGTTAGGCTTGTTCTGGGCACAGCTACCAGATCGGGCCCCACACATCAGGTCGGTGTGTGAACACCCATCTTCCCCAGTTTGTGAATCACTTTGAGGCTTATGCAGGAGTTGGGTGTCTAGATGCCTAGATTTCAGAGTAACAGCCGTGTTAGTCTGTCCTTGCAAAAAGAAAAGGAGTACTTGTGGCACCTTAGAGATTAACCAATTTATTTGAGCATGAGCTTTCGTGAGCTACAGCTCACTTCATCGGATGCATACCGTTTCCACGGTATGAGCTTTCATGAGCTACAGCTCACTTCATCGGATGCATACCATTTCCACGGTATGCATCCGATGAAGTGAGCTGTAGCTCACGAAAGCTCATGCTCAAATAAATTGGTTAGTCTCTAAGGTGCCACAAGTACTCCTTTTCTAGATGCCTAGAGTGAGGCAGCAGTGTGCATGCCAAGAGGCAGAAACACAGGTAATGAGGGAACTTTTTACTGCAAAAACTTAGGTGCCAAGTGAGTTTAGGAGCCTACAGGGTTCAGCAGGAGTCTGTGAATCACAGTGAAGCCTAAAACTGGGACTTAGGTAGCTCAGTATTATGAATCTAGGCTTGTGTGTGCTTGTTCTAAAGAGCTTTGCCTAATTAAGGCCTAGTTCTGTGCTAAAAACACAAAGGAAGGGGAGACTTGGCCCCTTTTTCTGGAGGGAAGGGAGAAAACCCAGCTGACACTGCTTCTGCATTGAGTAGAGGAAAGCATTAATTGTGCTATGTGCTACTCTTAGCCCCAATGCAATGTCCAGATTCCACATCAAGTTTGCTCTTTTATCAGCTGTAATGCTAATGCACTATTTTTCTAAATTCGGTCAAGTCACAGCAGCTCTATCTAGGCTGCTAACGGAGGTATTTTTCTTAATTGTCTCATGTTTTAATTCATGGCTGGGGCCAATACTCTTTCTTAGTGTTTTTATTTTTACAGTTCCTAAGCTGTCTGCTTTGCTATCCAGAATAGAGGTAAATAATGGATGCGCAACCCACGTACAAGCTAAAGCCGAAGGGCTTCTGATTTCCTCTCCTCCCCCTCCCCCCCCCCCCGTGGTTTTCAACACCTAGTCTACATCTTGCAAAGAAATACAAGCTACACCACACACAGTACTGCACTTCCAGGATTACTCTAACAAACTTGCTCTTTTCAACCACCCCGATACACCTTAAGGAAAATCTTAAAATAAACCCTCAAAACATAGTAATATGAAATATAGCAAATTTCCTCTGCAGGAAATAATTCTTACAAGGGTTACATTTCTTTAGCAGCATGTATAAGTGAATGAGATGAATCGGCCAGATAACCAAAATGAAAAGGCATTCAAATTGATCTACTCATGGTAACTCAAACAGAACATGTCAAGCTGTTGTAGATCACCAGTGTATTAACCATAGTATGTCCAACATGGAGATGGTGCAAGCAAATACATTGTGGCCTTCGTTGTGATGTCTTGCTGCCTCAACTCCAAGCAAACTGCTCCTTCCTGCTACAGAGACCACTGACTGATTAGAGAAGGCAGCAACAAATTAGTTTTGACATAATGACACCCACAATGACCATTTTATATATATATGTGTGTGTGTGTGTCAGTCATTAGAACCTTTATATTGTCCATTCAGTTCCCAGCTT